ATTCCATTTTTTCATCCTCATCTCTCTCCAAGAACCATTTCTAATCACTTGACTGAGTATATTTCTGTTTTTTTAACGTTAGAAATACTTCCTTTTCAAATGCCCTCTTCCCTTATATTCATCTTTATTTGAATTCCACTTTTCCACGTACTTCTTGGGTTATTCTTCAGTTTTCTTTCCTGTTCCTCTTCCTCCTCCTGCCTCTTAACTGTTCCCTGTGGCTCTGACTTAGATCCCTTTTTCTTTTCACCACACCACATATCCCTGGCTAACCTCATCTGCCCTTATGGCGGCTCAGTTTCTGTTGTAGTATGCTGGTGACTTTGACCTCCAGCTCAGACCTTTCTCTTGAAGTGGAGTCAGGGGCATATTGGACTTGTCCACTGGAAATTTGACAGGCACGTCCAGCGTAGAACATTCAAAATACATTCACTTTTCTCAAACCCGCTTCTTCAGTGCTTCCCAAGTTCATTAAAAAACACCGACACTCTTCACCAGTTGCTCAGACTAGAAGCCCATTTGACTCCTCTTTCACCTGATACCCAGTCAACCACCAAGTCTCTTCAGTTGCCCTAAATATATTTATTCTTACTGTTTCCTTCGCTACTTTGTTAATAACCTGGTCCCAGCTACTCTTCTCTTGCCATGAGTGTAGCATCCTCTTCTCTGGTCTTTTTTCTCCAATCCTGTTTCCCTCCAATTAATCATACTAGAGGCAGAGAAATCTTTTAGAAACACACATCCGATTATCACCCCACCTCCCTAAACCCTTCACCAGTGTCTTCTTGCCCTTGAATTGAAGTTCAGACCCTCAGAAAGTTGGCCCAGTCCTGCGTGTTTGGGACCCCACTTCCCTCTACAGCATCCTTACATACCTGGTCTGCCTCTCCGTTTCCCTCTCACCATCCCAGACTTTTTTCAATTCCCTCCCAGGGCCCCCTGCCATATCCTGAGCTGCTTCCTGTGGCTTAGACACTGCCTCCCTGGGTGGGAAACCCCTAAACTCTCTACAGCCTAAATCGTACTCACTCTTTAGTTCTCACCATAAATACCCTTTCCTGTAAAATGTCTTTCCAAGCTCTCGATTAAGCAAGGTCCTATTTCTGTGTGCTGTCATAGTACTTTTGTACTTGCCTTAGCAAAACAATTGTAATTATTTATCTGCATTCCTCATTGGCCTGTAAGCTCTGGAAACAGTAACCACGTTAGTGTTGTGTGATTGAGGGGATGAGAGAACAAAATGTTGTTCAGGTGTGTATTATTGCTGTCATTCATCTCTTCGTTTGTTTATTCATACGAGTGTTTCCTGAGCACATGCTTTGTGCTGGCTGCTATGCTACATGTGGGAGTGTAGTGTTTAATAAGACAGATAAGGACCTTGCTCCTTGAGAGCTTACAGTGAAGCAGAGGAGACAAACAGTAAACAAGGAAGTAAATAAGTGAATGATAAGATACTAGTAAGAACCATGAAGAAAATAAATTAGGAACATGTAGAATAACTGGGTAGGTGGAAATAGGATGGCCAAGGAAGGCTGATCTGAGGAGGTGAACTTAAACTAAGACTTGAATAATGAGAGGAGGCCAGCTCTACAAAGATCAGAGGGAAAATGACTGCACACAGGTGAAACAGTCTCTGTGACCTTGAAGCGGCCATGATGGAGAAACAAAGAGAAGGCCAGGATGGTTGGAGTGATGTCAGGTGGGAAAAGAGTGATGGGAGGTCATGGAAGGCTTTGTGTTCATGGATAGGAGTTTGGACTGTAAGTGAAGGTAGGCTTCTTTCTGGTTCAAGATACACCGTATATATGCTCCAGCTAAACCAAGGTGTACCGAGAAAAGAGCCACTTGAGTTTCAGAGGTACGTTTTTGACCTGAGACAAACATCCTTGATCCAGTAGAAAATCATGTGACGTTTCTTTAATCAAGGGCAAGAATAAGTGCTGATTACACGATAAGGTATATATTTCTTAAAAGCTGCTGAGGAACATTTTATATATGTCACAGACCATAAACTTGTGTGCAGTCACAATGTGAATGTATAGTAATTGCTTCCTGTTGCCACTGTCCAAATGATAGATATTTTATAACTACTATGTGTGTGTGTGTGTGTGTGGGTACAGAATTTTATTACTTAGAAGAGAGCATCATTGGGAAAGTTTAATCTTGAGAGACAGTGTAAGATCCCCAACATATAATGCTGTCCCGATAATGTTGATGAGCTGTATTTTTAATCATCTGTCACTTGACAAACTTTTGTAGAAAAAGAATCAATAATGGAGAAATCACAGGGAAGCTCAGACAAGACATTGCTTGTGAAAGCACTTGAAAAATGTTCTTAAGAGACATAAAATATTATTACTGTTGTTACAACCAACTCTTTCTAACCAAGTACTGGTACTGGTGTAAGATTTGTGACTCTAAAGACTGGATATCTTGACCGAGATAGAAAATATCCAATGCCAAAGTACCTTCTTTCTAACCAGCATGCCTATAAATTTTGTTGAGAAACTTACATGTATATACGCTCTTACTGTTCATTCAGTCATCTACTCAGTACCCAAGCATGCACTGAGCAGCTACTTTTCAGTTTTGTTTGTTTGTTTTTTGGCTGCGTTGGGTCTTTGTTGCTGCGCGTGGGCTTTCTCTAGTTGCGGTGAGTGGGTGCTACTGTTCACTGTGGTGCGCAGGTTTCGCATTGCGGTGGCTCCTCTTGTTGCAGAGCAGGACTCTAGGCGCACGGGCTTGAGTAGTTGCAGCATGTGGACCCTAGAGCACGCAGGCTTCAGTAGTTGCAGTGCATGGGCTCAGTAGTTGGGGCACACGGGCTTAGTTGCTCCGCGGCATGTGGGATCTTCCCGGATCAGGGCTCGAACCCGTGTCCCCTGCATTGGCAGGTGGTTTCTTAACCACTTCGCCACCAGAGAAGTCCCTGAGCACCTACTTTTCAACAGCTAGTGGCTCTGGGGACAAAGCACTCAGCTAGACAGATGCAGACCTTGCCCTCATGGAACCGAAAATCATGATGAACATTGAACATGGCATACTGAAATAATAATCACCTCTGCTTTTCTTCTCATGTAACTACATTTTATAGATAGATGTAGGATATTGAAAGTAGAATATACAACAACAGCTATAAGGCTGTTGTATATGCTGAATGTCTAAAGTACGTACTTTTTATTCCTTTGAACCACTTATTCATTGTGTTTGATTTTAAGTCTCTCTGGAATACTTTTTGCATAACTACCATTTGTTCAACTTGAAAGTGGTGGGTGGATTGATCTTGTGGAGGCTGGTACAGGAAATCTATGCGATGTGATCAGTAAGAACTCAGGCTCTGACGTCAGAGTGTCTGGATTTGAATTCCCCCTGCCCTGTTTAGCAAGTGTGGTTAATATGCCTACGAGTTAGTTTTCTCATCTGCAAAATGAGGATAATAGATTGTTGTGAAGATTACACGAGGTGATACAGGCAATAATCCTAGTTAGTGCCGGGCACGTTGTAGACTCTGATTTAATGTGAATTGTGCATGCTGCGATTATGCCATCCTGCCTGCCTTCTCCATGCTTACTGTAATTAAAGAATCTTCTCCAGTGCAGCTGCACAGCAGTCTCTGGGCAGTTTGCATTGTTTGGTGTTTTCTGGAATGTGGTAATAGTACTATAGGGAATATGTTTGTTACAGTAGGTACAAAGGTTTGAGAGCCTTTGATGATATGATATATTCACTTGCAGCCAGTTCTTTCAGGATCTAACAGCTTGTCATTGACTGTCCTTTGCAGAGCTAAACCGGAAAGGGGACAGTATAGTTTTACAATATGATACCCTGGAATAAGGTAGAATTTTGTTGTTGTTGTTAATAAGCTTTGAGTAAGACAGGAATGTTTTATGTAAATAAGCATGCTAACAAAATGACCACCTAAGAGTATCCTTCAGAACTTTCTGACCACAATTAACAGTAAGATATATTTTATATCAGATCAAGTTTACACACATACATATACACTCAAGTATGAAACTGAAATAAACTTTCACAAAATAATACATATTCTTACTACTGTAGTGCAGCATTTTTATTTCTTTCTATTCCATGTCATTCCATTCCATTTCATTCCTTTCCATTCTAGGAAAAGAGACCAGTAGTTTGAAAACTGTTGATCTCAGAAATTGGTGGGCAAGCATAGCACAGGGAGATCAGCTCGGTGCTTTGTGACCACCTAGAGGGGTGGGATAGGGAGGGTGGGAGGGAGGGAGACGCAAGAGGGAAGAGATATGGGAACATATGTATATGTATAACTGATTCACTTTGTTATAAAGCAGAAACTAACACACCATTGTAAAGCAATTATACCCCAATAAAGATGTTAAAAAATAATAATAATAATTTGGGGATCAAAAAAAAAAAGAAATTGGTGGGCAAGACAATTCTTGTTTAGACAAGAATAGGGGTATGAATAAGAATTAAGTGGGTTAGTCATCAGCTGTACTGTTTAAATCTTTTCTCAGTTATCATCCTATATTCCATGCAAAAACACACAAAACCCAAAACCAACCAAACAAAACAGCACTTGGTATTTAGTTCTTATTATACTTTGACAGATATTAGCTCAGTTTGATCTTTTAAAATTTTGCAGTCATTTTTCTTCCAGCAAAGTTGCAGACCAGATCGTGGTTACATGGAGAGTGAGTTCAGTGCAGCCAAGAAACTTCGCTTCTGCCTCTGGCTTTGTCGTTACCTCCAGGTTGACCTGTCTTCTCTGAGTCTCAGCTCAGAAGGCGGAGGAGGGGAGGGGCAGTAATAATATTTATTCTATTTAAATTAAGTAATTTAATTAAATCCCTCCCTCCTGCTCCTACCCCCAGGGTGGTTTGACAGCCAGCTGGGACAATGTATTTGAAATAGTTTTGTAAACTAAAGGGACTTTTACAAATATAAAGACTACTGAGCTGTAAGATTCTGTATTTGTAACTATTACCTCCTTTAAAAAATATGCCTTCTAGATTTCTCAGTTGAATACACTGATTGCACTTTTGCTGGGAGAACTTCTACCTGGAGACAGGCAGAAGATCATGACAATTTGTACCATAGATGTCCATGCCAGAGACGTGGTGGCAAAACTTATTTCTCAGAAGGCAAGTTATTTGTAGAAATTTCATGTGTTTTTTGCTGTTTCCTAAAAGTGGTATTTATTATCAAGAGTACTTCTAAGAAAGTCGTTTGTTTGTTTGTTTTTTTTAAGGTTGTATATTTTAATTAGTCCTAAGAAGCTGAGTGCATTTACTTTGGGTATTTTTTATTTGGGTTAGCAAATATATTATCCTCATGAGAGTTATCCCAAGTGATATCCCAAAGGGTTTGGCCAAGTCAGGAGCCTCTAATTCAGATCATCCAAAAATTAAGTCAGGATGGAGGAACCATAGGAAGTCACGTGTTCATTTCCCTGTCTTCCAGCTTCTCTACACATAATTATCCATTGGCCTGTGATAACCACCACTGTGGCTTATCCAGCCAGTAGCAGTAAGATTGTGTACCACCTAAACCATCTCTGTGTGCTTTTGATTATTTTCCTTTTGAAGAAAGAGAAATGTTGGCCACCCTTTGTCTTTTCCATTCAAAGCTAAATTACTTTCTTTAAAGAAGTTATTTTCTAATCCTTTCAGTGTGTTATTAACCTTCTTATCTCTTTAAAAAGTCCACGTGTCTCTTAGATACCGGCAGTGTTTAATGCGGAAGGAGAATCTCTCACCCTTTTTCCAAAATACACTGCTACTTAAAATGTCTTAAATACGCTTGTCTAGTGAACAAAATTGACATACCATGCCCATAACCTACTTCTTCCAAATCCCTTTTGTTTTTTGAGAGTGGCATTTCCTTTCACAATTTGAATGCATGCTTGTATTGTGAGATGTTTGCTGTTGTTTTTTTAGTTCCTTCTCAATTTATTAAAAGCAAAGTGAATTTTAATTCTCTTCACAAAGTGCTAGCAAATGCTTCCTTATGTAAGCATAAAGTTAAAAAAAAAAACTTCTTGATCCAGGTTCAGGACCATCAGTGAAGAATGTTGCTTAATTGCTAATCTAAAACTGATCCTTGCAAAACACGATTACCGTGTATTCTCATTTTGATTGATAACTACTCTTTGAATATGACCTTGCATATTTTATTATGTTTTATCAGTGGTGATTTGCTTGCAGCAGGATAAATTTTGATTTAAAATATGTTCTTTATTTTGTACTTAAAGAGATACTGTCTAATTCCTGCTCATTTAGTATGCATAAGTATGCAGTGTCGAGACTTATGTAGATATCAGACAAATGAGTAGATAATAATTTTGGTAACTTCCAGTGATTCCTAAGAAACCCTTGGGTCAATTGGATTTTGAAAGAGACTGGAATTATTTTTTCAAACTGGGAAAATAATGGATAGAATTGAGTGAAATAAGAAGGAATAGCAACGAAAAAACCACTGTTGTTTGGTTTAATGAAAAATGACGTGGAAATCTCTACTAAAAGCAGAACAGTTTGAGAATGGACTTGGTTGAAAGTATAGTTTATTTATACCTCTGACATGCAGAAATAATGGATTATGTGCTATTTTAATACAGAGTGTATTTTTCCATCTGACTTCAGTGATAATGAATATAAAGTCACAGAAGTGATCAAATCACCTGGGGTGATTCATAAAAGGGGAAAAAGCATTGCTTCAGCAAATTGATGTTGTTTTACAGTAATAGGCTTCTTAAAATGAACACGTTTATTACACACATATTTCTGATTAAGTATTCAACCATCTACATGCAATTACAATTTGCAGTAGCATACAAGAGACCTACCTTTTGTGAGATTTTTTAAGAGTAAAATGCGACTCAACCGAGTTGATTAGATTAATAGATTACATTTGTGGCCTTAAAACTATCAGCGTCCCGTGTGTGATGATCATGTGATGTTTTTAGGTCGCCACTCCCCACGCTTTTGCTTGGCGCTCTCAACTTCGTCACCGGTGGGAGGACACCCAGAAACATTGCCTCGTTAATATTTGTGATGCCCAGTTGCAGTACTTCTATGAGTATTTAGGAAACAGCCCTCGACTAGTGATCACTCCTCTGACTGACAGGTAACAATGATAAGTTGGAGTCAGATGGGAAAAACCAAGCCAAAAGTTCCCCAGCATGGGTAAAGATGTCTGAGATTGAAAATAAAGGACTGTGAGAAAATGATGAACAAATTGCGAAACTGTATGAAAGCAGAATGTAAATGCACTAATCGAGTGACATAGCAAACGTTGGTGTTAGAGACACATTAAAGAGAACCAAATTACAAAAGCAGAATTACAGACGCTATGTGGTATGCACATCATGAAATCATGAGCAGTTAATATGGCTGAAGGCAGCATCTTTGATCTCGGAGTCCATTCCCTCTGGTTATTTATGGCTAACACCCTGATATTAGAAGTGTAAAAACTGCCTCCCTTTATTAGAAGTGTAAAAACGGGAATTGCCTGTAGTGAATTCATTTTTGAAGGATTACATACAGTGAAAGGAAGAAAAGGAGAACAGAAATGATTCATCAGGTACAGTACTTCTGAAGCACTGTGCTGAGAACTGTCCCAGTGTCAAGCAGGTAGGGTTCCTGCTCTCTCAGAGCACACTTTCTAGGGGAGTGTGGTGTGTGAGTGGCTGGGAATGAAGAGGAAGAGTAAACAAATTAACAAAGTTGTGTTAGGTGGTAATATATGGTGTGACAAAAATAAAACAGGACGATAGGTTAGAAAGCGTCTTGAAGGGAGAGCGTGCTATAGATTGTATGAGAGGACATTTGAGCCAAGACCGAAATGATAACAAGGAACCAGCTATGCACACATCCTGGGCCAGAAAGTTACAGGCAAAGACAAGTACAAAGTTTCTAAGACGGAAAGGAGCTTGGTAGGTTCAAGGGGTAGACACAGAGCCCAGTGTGGCTCAAGCCTGTCAAGGGAGCAAGGGATTCTTAAACGTTCGTTGCCACTTGACTCCAAGTTAATAGATACACACGGTCAGACGTGAGATTCTTTGTTCGTATTCCAACCTCTGCTGAATTATTTGGTGGGAGAAAGCATATTTAGTCCTTGGTATTCATGAAAGAGAAATCACACGTCAAGATCATGTGCGTGTTCCCAGTTATCCAGTTACCACGATGCCGTATACTTTATCTGGGAACGGAAGGGCAGACGGTTGCAAGTCTGTCTGTCGAGCTGGGTAGTGGCGGCCCTGGGAGGCTGATGGATTTCCCTCACTAGCTTTGTGATCTTTCTTGCACACACTGATCTGCTCGTGATGTTGTCCTTGATAAATCGTATGGCTTCTGCAGTTGTTTCTCTAATTCAGTTCCCTTTAACTTGTCTCTAAAAGTCAGTGTTCACTATCTTAATTAGTTAATTTATGTACTGCTTTCAGGGCGAGAGATTAAACTTTGTAGCTTGACAAAATCGCTTGAAGAGTCAAAACTGCAAATGCCAGAGTCTGCTGTATACGTGCCCTTGCACATAGAGAAGGGGGTGGGGAGAGGCACGGCGTACAGGAGAAATGGGGAAGAGGCATTTTTAAAAATTACCGGTGTGTGAGGCCAATAGCTTATTAACTTTTTAATTTAAAGATCACTATGTGGTTTATTTGGAAGTTAAAAGGAAGATGAATGTTCCTTTCATAGAGTGAATAGGGCTGTATAAGATGTTCGCACTATGTACATTTCTTTCCCATTTCCTTCTTTGGATTGTTTACTAATTGTTTAGATTAATACAATGCTGCCTTTCAAACACTTTCACTACGTCTTGTTTGATGCCGACCTTCCCCTTGTGTGGTAGACTAGACAGAAAGCATTTCCTTCTCCCCTACGTGGGCAGGTTCAGAGAACCAAGTCAACCAAGCTTGTAATTGAGAGACTTGGGCTGGAACACAGGTGGATTGGTTTGGGGGTGCTAAGCTGCTGTTCCAGAGAGACCCAGAATATAAGTCCTTCGATAACATGGCAGCTGGGGTCTCAGTTGTGTGACATTCCTGAGGAGGATGGTCCAGCTGTGTAGGCTTCTGGGTGGCTGACATGCTACATGTGGTTTGCACATTTGTTTCAGCCAGTGGGAAAGGGGAAAACGTCTCAAAGGAGGCATCCCAGGGTTAGCACACTCGTTTCAGCACATAGCATGTTGGCTGGAGCTTGGTCACGTGACTGCTCCTGGCTGGAAGGCAGGGAGGAAACGTAGTCTGCAGCATATAGGTGGTCATATGTCAGGCAAAACTTGGAACCACAAGAAAAGATTAATAGGGGATAGTCTGCACCATAAAAAGTGCTATAATTCCTAGTCCAGGGGTCTTTCAATTTCATATTCATTGTAAGATGCTCTGAAACGTGATGGCTGTAAAATACAGAAACACTCTCCATTTCCATAAGTAACTGCTTCTATCTGCGTAGTACTTTGAATTTTTTAAGGCATTTACCTTTGGCCTTCTTAGCAGTCCATTGCCGTCACCATTTGGGCACCGTGTTGGGTTGGCTTTCTTAATAAAGTCCTACGATAAACCTCATTTCATGGAGGAGAAAACTGAGGCATGTTGATGTCAGAAATGTAATTTAAGTTTATCTGATGAGTGGCAGAGTAGACACTAGTCCTGGGTCTTCTGCGTGTGTGTCTTCCCACTAGATCCACTGTCTGTACTAAGACAAAAATAATTCATGAGTCTGCAGAAACCTCACGTTAGGTCCTCACCGTTTATTAGTTTTCCTTCTTTTACAAGTATTAAATTCTGTCTTTGCATAATTTTCCTCAGTCTAGGAACCTCTGAATCTTCCCTGCAAAAATAACTATTATCGTAATCTAAAGACACGTAGCGACACGTTCAAAATGAAATCCTGAATACATTTTAACGTAATAAATTGTTACGTCTTTGTTATATTTGCTTTTTACAGTGAAATAGGTATATATTATTTGCATACTCTGTATTTATGTTTACATATCTCATCTCTTAATGTATTTATTAAATAGCAGTTTAATGAAGTTAGTGTTTCATTCATTCATCATCCAAGATATCAATTTTTCTTTTATAAACAATAGTTTGAGATGTCTGCCGTATTAGTAATATGTCTACCTAGAAATATCAGAAATTCAAGGGCATTGCAAATTAAGTGTCATTTGTATTCAAATATGCAGCTCTTAGGAAATGAGACAAATAAAGCAGTACATTCTTCTCTGTTACTTTTAAACAGCCAAACTAAAATTAAATTTGATATTATCCTGACTCTTACCATGAACGAATCAGAGATGTGTCAGTATTTTGTGTTACAACCAGATTCTTAGACCGTGACTTCTTAAACTTTAAAAAATATTGGATTGTCCCTTACACCTTTTAGGAATCTCATAGAAGATCGTAATATTTGTGTTTTCTTTTGCTTAAAGGTGTTACATTACTTTAACTCAGTCACTTCATCTCACCATGAGTGGGGCTCCCGCTGGCCCGGCTGGTACAGGGAAAACAGAAACCACCAAAGATCTTGGCCGTGCCCTGGGCATGGTGGTTTATGTATTCAACTGTTCAGAGCAAATGGACTACAAAGTAAGTTAGTTATAAAATGATACATCCTAACAATATTATTCCTGACCTGGAATGAGTCAAACTAATAGCTAAAAACCCTTTTCTGTTACATTCTTAATGCCTCACTCCATCATTAAGTCCATAGGAAATATCTATAAGGGATTGGTGCAGACAGGAGCTTGGGGCTGCTTTGACGAGTTCAATCGAATTTCTGTGGAAGTTCTCTCCGTGGTGGCAGTACAAGTGAAGATGATACACGATGCCATCAGAAACAGGAAGAAGAGGTGAGCGGCGTGTAGCTTCTTCCTGTTCTTACAAGTAGAAAGAGAACCTTAGAGCAATGCAGGAGACCTCATCTTCACAGTCTCCAGCTGCCTCTTCCTGTCCCAGGAGATGGATAAAATGAGAGAGACTGGTTAATTGTGAAGAATTATTTTGAATAACCTCCTGTGTTTTAGCCGTGTTTTTTAAGTGTTCATTACAACAAAGGTGTATCACATACTTTAATCAGTGGAAGAATAAGCACCCTCTACAACAAGAAATCCAGTTATCAATTCTCAGTCCTGATCTCACTTGACCTTCAGCAGCATTTGACACAGTCACTCCCTCCCTTCTGCGTGACACGCTTTCTTCACATCGGTTCTACGACTCTACATCCTCCCGGTTTTCTCCCACCCTCAGGGCTGCTCCTTTGCTGATTTCTTCTCATCTATAAAATGGGGAGAAGTACAGTACCCACCTTATGGATTACAGTGGGAATTAAATGCAGAACACTTGGGCAAGTGCCTGACACATAGCACCATGTCAGTGTTAGCTATTATTTTTTATTATTATTTCCTGACCTATTAATGTTGGATGTCACAGGCCTCAATCTTCAGGTGTCTTCTTTTCTCTATGTCTACTTGTTCCCTTGGTCATTTCATTTAGTCACGTGGCTTTCAATACCATATTGATGGTGCTGGCTACCAGCTGCCCAGACCTCCTTTCTGTGATATCTAGACTTACATATACAATGTCAGCAATTGTCTTGGGACATCTGAAAACTCCATTTGATGTCTCATTGGCCTCTCATATTTAATATAGCCAAAGTCGAAATCCTGGTCTTTCCACTAACGCTTGCTTTGTTTGTTATCCTGTCCCAGTAGAATACACCCCCACATTCTTCCAGTTATTCGGGCCAAAACTTTTCCAGATGGAGCTAGAACCTAATCACTTCCCAACTTGGTGCCGCACTCCGAAAGACAAAACATGGTGCTTAGGGTTTGATAGCTTCATTTGAGAAATCAGTATTATAATACCCAGTTGTGGTTTTCTTTGTAACATTTTTGTATACAGTGAAATCTCATGTATCTGGCCTACCCATTGACTCCCATTTCTTAGGGTATTTTGCTCAGTTAGCTGTCTTATCCATAAGAACATGTCAGTCTCCCATCAGGGGAAGATCATCCAGCCCTTTCAAACTGTGAACCTATTACAGAAGTTTGCAGTTATTGTAGATACATCTGGATATTTCTACCTTCTAGAAAAATTCTCAGTCCTTCCACCACATGGCTCTGGGAAACCAGTTTCCTGTGACCAGATGTCTGCTGCCTTAACTACCCCTGATCTAATGTCATGTTACAGAAGTTAGATTCTTCGCCTTTGATCCCCAGACATACTTGATTTAGCTTTTAGTCAAAATCTTCTTATTTGATGTAACCCAGGTGCCTTTGAGGCCATCCTTTCTTATGGAGATTGAGATAACTGATCAATGCAAGGATTTCTGAAAATTTCCAACCATGCTTCTCAACAGTCTCCATGTCTGCACGTATGTGAGTTGTACCTGTTCATCATCATGCTAGCCCATGTGCAAACTGCTAGGCTCCTTCATGAGTTCATGAGTTTTATTACATTCTCTTTCCACGCAAGGATTTAAGAGATGGGACGGTGCCTCACCCACAAAGCTTTCCAGCATCTTGCTGGCTCTGCCCCCTTGAGGTCCATGCCTCTGGCTTATGGCTGTCCCTGCTCTGTTTAGTGGAAGAGTGCTCAGCTACCCTGCTGCCCTAGCCACCTGCCAGGCCTGTTTGCGTTCCCCAGCCTGATACTCTGAGAATGAAGATTTCTCCATTCTTACCTTGACTAAACACAGTCCACCTTCTCTTCATTGTCAAGCATCTAAGAAACTCTTAGTCCTAAAAACTGTGGCTGTCCCTTTTCCCTCCCTAGTCCGTGTTGGAGGCCCAGCTCCTTAACCGCTTTAGCCCTCCCCTTTCTCAACAGGAGAACGCCTTCTGTTTGTCTCATTTCCCTCCATTTGGAAGTTTCCTTCCACATGTCCTTCAGTTTGGCTCCTACTGCCCTTTACCGTTCCATTGCCCTGGCCATCAACAGGCTAATAATGGCCCTTTCAAAGCTTTCTGAAAATCCTTCACTGCTTCTCCAATACCTTCAAGTCATGACAATAGCCATAGTCATAGCTAACATCTGTTGAGTATTTACCAGGCCCTAGGCACTGTACTCTTAGCCATGTATATACATAATCTCTTTTAATCCTCATGTAATCCAATAAGGTAGGTAATATCATTATCCTCCATGCTTTTTCTTTTTTATGAGATGAGGGAATGGAATATGCATAAAGTGATATAGCTGGTCTCTGAATGCTCGCAGTCTGGCCCCAGAGCTAGCTGTCACAAGCACCACACTAATCTACCTCAGTGGTGGTCAGCAGATACTTGTTGACTAAATGGGAGGGAAGGAGAGATGGAGGGTGAGCAAATGGACAATATAACCACAGAACAAGGAGTCCCTTTCTCCTCTTAGCATGGACGTTCTGCATCTGTACCGTATCACATTCAAGAAACTGCAGCCCATGTTGAAGGCAAAAATGGCATCACCTTTCATTAACTGTTTAAGAAGTCAAGTCCTCATTTTTATATTCTAGCGTACTGCAGCCATGCTAAAACACAAAGGAATACTTGCCATACTTGTAATTCCTTTGGGGGAAGGGAATGTATTTTTAATAAACACTCTTCAAAATATGTATGCTTATGAATTTTAAAGAAAATTACACAGCATAAACAGCTTCCTAATAATAATTTGCATTTTGCATTGGTTTGCATTTGTCAATGTGCATTCATATTCAGTGAACACATTTAATTCCATCAACATTCTTCTTCTGATAGATTTGTATTTCTTGGGGAAGCTATCACACTGAAGCCATCAGTTGGAATATTTATTACTATGAACCCAGGATATGCTGGTCGAACCGAATTACCGGAAAATCTCAAAGCTCTTTTCAGGCAAGTGTTATGCTTTGTGGGTTAGCATCTGGAGCACTCATGTCACCTAACGTTGCTGGTTTGCACTGTTAAATGATTTGTTTCTACTTGGGAATTTCTGTGGAAAACCCTTTATTATATCTTTGGGATCCCTTTATAGAGAGAACTTTCACCATGATAAATTAATTCTTTTGAAATATGAAACCAGGACTGAAAATCATTCCTTAAAATTTACATAGTACATTTGAACATTTAGTACTAGCTCTTTTGTCATGATATTTTTATTATAAATATAATCTTCACAAACTACAGAATATTTGGAAAACACGGAAACGAATAAAGAAAAAGTTACCACTTTACCACTCAGAAATAATGATTGTTGTATTTTTATCTAGTCTCTTATAATTCCTGTTTTATGAGGTTAAGATATTAGGTTAGATTTTCATTAATTCTCATTTAATATGTTGACATAAGTAGTTTGTCATATTATTGAAAATTCTTTGGAAATACCAGTTTTTGTAGCTCCAAAATGGTCTCTCCCAGGGCTCATCCATAATTTTCTTAACCATCCCCTGTTGTCTGACATGACATGAAGGGCTTGTGTTTTTCTTGTCAGTTTTTTATGATCATAAAGTAGCCGGCCGTACACATCCCTTCACATGAAGTGTCATCCTTATTTCAGGTTATTACCCAGAATAGATTCCTACATGTAGAATTACTTGGTGACTGATTAAAATCTTGATCGATGATCTGCTTTCCAAATGTACTCTGACAGTTTATATGCTTATTAGCAGTCTGTCAGAGAACTTGTGCTGTTGTATACAAACCTGTTCTGATTTAAAATCAACTTTGTTCAGGTGTAATTTCATGTGATCAAATGCACCCCCTTAAGTATCCAGTTGGTGAAAACACTACCACAATCAAGATATGGAATGTTTCTGACACCCCCAGACATTCTCTTGTGCCTCTTTGAAGTTAAGCCCTCACATCACTGATGTTCTTTCTGTGACTCGAGGTTAAATCTGCCTTTTCTAGAGTTCCTGTAAACGAAACCCTACCGTATGTACCTGTTTGTGTTGTCTGCTTCCCTTGAACATCGTGGTTTGGGGATTCATCTGAGTTGTCCCGCATTTCACTAGTTCCTTCCTTTTTGTTGCTGACGAGCGTTCTATTGGAGAGACATACTACAATTTATTTATCCATTCACTAGTTGATGGACATTGTTTCCAGTTTGGGCCTGTTATGAATAAAGCTGCTGTGAACATTCATGTACAGTCTTTGTGTGAATATATGTTTTCTTTGGGGTAGATACCTATGAATGGAATTGCTAAGTCACATGGCAGGTGTACGTTTGACTTTATTAGAAGCTGCCAATACGGTTTCCAAGATGGCTGTACCCTTTTACACCCTTACCACCAATGTATGAAAATTTCTGCTGCTCTGCATTCTTGTCAAAACTTGGTATCGTCAGTCTTTTTAGTTTTAGCGAATCTGATAGATAGGTAGTGGTATGTCATTGTGGGTTTAGCTTGCATTTCCACGATGGTAAGTAATGTTGAAAATCTTTACATTTAACTTACCATTCCCGTACCCTCTTTTGTGAAGTGCTGTATTCTGCATACAGTTTCTTTCTTTTTTTTTTTTTTTTTTTTTTTGCCATACGTGGGCCTCTCACTGTTGTGGCCTCTCCCGTTGCGGAGCACAGGCTCCGGACGCACAGGCTCAGCGGCCATGGCTCACGGGCCCAGCCACTCCGCGGCATGTGGGATCTTCCCGGACCGGGGCACGAACCCGTGTCCCCTGCATCGGCAGGCGGACTCTCAACCACTGCGCCACCAGGGAAGCCCTCTGCATACAGTTTCTTTGTTAAATACACATATTGCAAATATTTATCTCTCAATTTGTGGCTTGCCTTTTCGTTTTCTTAATGGTGCCCGTCAAAGATAAAAGTTTTAAATTCAATAAAATATTATTTATCAGTTTGTTTCATGGTTTTTAAAAATATCCTGTTTAAGAACGCTTGACTCGCCCTAGGTTGCAAAATTTTTCAACTATGTTTCTTTTAGAAGTTTTTTTTTTTAATAGGTTTTATATGGATCCCCCCCTTCTTTTTGTTAATGTGCTAAACTGTACTCATTGATTATTCAAATGCTAAACAATTCTTCAACGTTGTATTCCTGGGATAAGCTCCACTTGGTCAGGAGGTATTATTTTATATGTATTGTTGGATTCAATATGGTACTATTTTGTTGAGGATTTTAAAATTGATGTCATGAGGGACATTGCTCTGTAGTGTGATTTCTTGTCATATCTTCATCTGGTTTTGGCATCAGGGTAATGCTGACCCCATGAATGACTTGACATACGTTCCCTTCTCTATTTTCTTCAGAGTTTGTGTAGGATTGGTATTATTTACCCCCTAAATATTTGATAGAATTAATCAGTGAAGCCATTCACCCATTTGGGCTTAGATTTTTCTTTGTGGGAATCTTTTTACTGATCAATTAAATTAATAGATACAGAGATTTTCCGGATTTTTTTCTTCAATTAGTTGTGATGATTTGCATCATGTAAGGAATTTCTCTATGTTATCTAAATTGTTGAATTTATTGGCATTAATTTGTTCATAATATTCTCTTATTATCTCTGGTGATGTCCTGAGAGCCATGTCTGGTAAGGGTAATTTGTGTCTTCTCTCCCTTTGTTTCCTTGATGAGCTAGAGGCTTATCAGTTTTACTTTTTAAGAGTTCTTTCGTGTTTACAATATGTGTCTTTGTTCACGGTCTACCTTCAAAATAATATGCTACTTCACATATAATGTAAGAACCTCTGTAGTTTTTAGTGTGATGTCTTTAAATTCTTTTAAGCTTAAAATTTGCTTGTCTGTCCATCTAGATGTTTAAGCATATTTCATTTATATTCTCTTTTAATTTTTATATTATGACTTTTCAAATGTACTTCATCTGTTAAGGGCTTATTTTGATAAGTAGCATGAAATGAGTATTTAAACAGAATTCTTTTCTGTTATAGTCAATTATTCTAGCAACTTTTAGTGAACATCTTCCTTTCCTCATAAAATAGCTTTCTCTCTAGCATAGCAATTTTATAATGTCCATTTTCCTTGAAAAAAACATTCTAGAGAATAACTATCCTAGAAATAAATGTAATGATTATAGAATATTTTCATTTGAAAATTGTACATCTCTGCAGTACTTTTACATTTGTATACGGTTCATCTTGCATCAATACATGTTTTCATTTGGGTCTTAAAATTGGGAATTATTTTGTGAAGTTTTCATAAATTTGGTTTAAGTAAGTGCAGACTCATTTGTGTATGGGGGTCAGGACTGGTGTCAGCAAAGTTTGAAGGACAACTGGGTGATGAAAGTAGTGTTCATGAGCGGAAGCAGCATGCCTGAGCCTTGAGAGTATCATGACCCCCACCACGTGGCCTCAGCTGTGTGCTTGTACTGCTCAGGACCTTAGTCTGCACCTCAGTACAGTACAGATAAGAAGAGCAGCCACATCAAAGAGTTGAGAGAACTGAGTGAGAGTGCCTGAAAAGCTTTTAGCATCCCTTATGGTATGAAGAATACTCATTGAATATCAGTTGTCAGTGTTAGTGGAAGTACCAGTGAAGTAAATATGCTAGCCTCTTCCCTCCCCTATTTACATAAAAAACTGTGGGAAAAAACATGAGGCTACTTTAGGTAGAAGCAGTGAATAACATAGATCCAGAGACTCAGGAATGTTTAGGATGAAAAATTAGATAGGCTTGCAGTAGACTGTAATAATATTTACAAAAAACAGATGGGTAAATATTACTGGAAAAGTCTAAAATGACAGGCTTATTTACTCTGGCTCCTTCTTTGCACTGGACTTCAGCTGAGTGGAATTTTTTCAAAGGTTGCTTTTTTTTTTTTTTTTTTTGCGTTACGCGGGCCTCTCACTGTTTGTGGCCTCTCGCGTTGCGGAGCACAGGCTCCGGGCGCGCAGGCCCAGCGGCCATGGCTCATGGGCCCAGCCGCTCCGCGGCATGTGGGATCTTCCCAGACCGGGACATGAACCCGTGTCCCTTGCATCGGCAGGCGGACTCTCAACTGCGCCACCAGGGAAGCCCTCAAATGTTGCTTTTAATGGTAATTGTCCTGCGAGAACTTTTTGGAAGTCTTCCTCCAAAAGGAAGGGAATTTGAAAGTTATGTTTTCATAAATTTTCAGCTTAAAAGCTGGCCACAGGCAGTGTTGGAGATGGCTGGTATGAGCTTGAAAGCGCTGATGGTTAACTTTTTGTTGCTGTTGTTGTTTAATTTTTTAAATTTATTAATTGTTTATGGCTGTGCTGGGTCTTCATTGCTGCACGTGGGCTTTCTCTAGTTGTGACGAGTGGGAGCTACTCTTCACTGCGGTATGTGGGCTTCTCATCGCAGTGGCTTCTCTCGTTGTGGAGCATGGACTCTAGGCGTGCAGCCTTCAGTAGTTGTGGCACTCAGGCTCTGTAGCTCTGGCAATGGGCTTAGTTGCTCCACAGCATGTGGGATCTTCCCGGACCAGGGCTCGAACCCGTGTCCCCTGCATTGGCAGGCGGATTCTTAACCACTGCGCCACCAGGGAAGCCCAGGAGCTGATGGTTAACTTTTCATGAATTTTGTGAGGTGGCTGTAAAGCACAGGTACTAATAAAAAAACAAATTATATAAACTTTTGATTAACATCTATTAAAGACAAAGGTGATAAGCATTCAAACTCATGATTTCCTAATTAGTTTATCAACACTTGCGCTCTTAGGGTACTTGTGTCTATTGTGTCTGTATGGTGGTGTACAACCTCACATCTCGTGTCAGCTGCAAGTTTAGTGATACCGTGTTGGTAGATTGAAATCAGCCACGGTGGAGGTACTGATTCCATGGAAGTCAGCAAACACTATTTTTTGGAGAGCCAGTTGTTAACTGTTCACCAGCACAGCACTGGCCACAAATAAAGGCTGGCCTCTAAGCACAAAACATCACTCATCTTTGTGCAGTGACAACTTAAAATGGAAGTTTACCGATTGTACCCACAGATTTCCCTTCAGCTCCTACACCCGTGCTTATGCCATTTGCATATTTTCCACCTTTTTCTATGTGTCTAGTAACTCCTGGGCATTTTTTACTTGAAGTGAAGGGTCTTGTTAGCTATGATTGACAGAGGTAATTGTGACCTGCTTGGGAATGGTTAGAATGTTGGTACACATTAATCACTGGGTTTCAGCCATTTGTACTTATTACCTTATTGCATTTTAAAACAAAATTTCATATTTACTTTGTAGACCCTGTGCCATGGTGGCCCCTGACATCGAGCTAATCTGTGAAATCCTGTTAGTTGCTGAAGGTTTTGTGGATGCACGCTCACTAGCCCGCAAGTTTATTACATTGTACACGCTCTGCAAGGAGCTCCTGTCCAAGCAGGTGAGGGGTATTATGTTACTTTTTCTGGGTTTTTACACCCCATTAGAACAGCTTCTGAAGTATGGACACTGGGTAATTTATCGCTCAAATTACGGTTAGACATTTAGGAGTAGTTTTATATTTTTCCCAAAATTTTGAAAATCTGAATTTTACAATTCTTCATTTTTTTTTGAAATTAAAATAAGACTAATAAGAAACTGTATAAAAAAATAAATAAAATTCAAAAACAAAGAACAAAAAAAAATAATATACTCCTTGTGCTAAAAAGGATATGGCTTTAGTCCCTAAGTGCCTCAATTTCCTCATCTTCAACTTGGAGCCAGTAATGGAGAGCACATATAAAGGTTGTTAAAAAAAAAAAACTTGAGACATTTTAAGTTGAAGGGTTTATTTGTACTTAATACAGCTTTTATCAGTGGGCTATGTGATTTTCTTTAAATGTTATCAGTGCTGTAATTAGATATGAATTTTATGATGCCTCCCTTTCCTGGTGGGAATATTATTTTCCAGGGAAAGATGGCGGGAGTGTTCATAAGAGCCAGGGAAAGCTGATTTTCTGAAAAACCCTTGAGAAATGCTAAATGAAAGATTTTCTCGTTTTGTTGGTAATTCTTTATTTGAAGGTAGACTTGGCTTTTTTGTTTGTGTTTATTTTTGCTCTACAATTCCTTTGTTTCTGAAATGGGCCAAATTAATAAATGCATTACTCTCCAGTTACTACCTTCTTGCTGTTTCGTTGAAGCTGCTGGTGGGCCACAAAAATGCCATCTATATCAGCATCACTGTTTTTAAATTTAGCTTTTTGGTCACCTTTGACTTCATTCTTTTGGTGACCTCTTGTTAATTCCTGGTGACATTATTTTGCAGTTGTTCCAGGATGAAGGATGAAAGTATTAAAATATCACAGCTAGAACCACTCAGTTACCTGTACTGCCAGATGTACTCATTTTAAATTACCCTTTGTTGGGGTGAAATTTGGAATCTGAGAGGCAAATTCATATTGTCATTTTAACAACTGTGAATTTATATTCTGGGGTAAAACATATCGAATTTGATAATGTGGAAAAATGCTTGTGACAATGTTATATGCAAAAAACAGCACAGCGAACTGTCGATGTGATCTACAATTTGCGTGTGTTTTATTCAGTACATTTTATATTACACTGTGTGTTTTATATACATATTAAGTGACTGGAAAATGCATTGTGATTTTTAACATTTGTTTCTGGGTACTAAGATTGTGAGTATTTAAAATTTTTTTCCTATTCTTGTTTGTGATATTTTATTTTTTTTCAATGAGCCCCTTTTAATTTTATAATGGGAAAACGTCAGAAGAAAAAAGTGTTACCGGACCCAGGATACATGGAGTTGCAACCATACCCCATTCCCAGTACTAATACTTAAACACATTTAGTAAGCATTTACTGTATTCAAGTAATATAGTTATTGCTGACAACGATGAACGGGGTAAACACAGAACAAATGAAGCAGACACTTAGATTTCTGACTTCAAAGAACCTATGTAGGAGATTTAGTTTACATGCAATAAAAATTAGAAGGAAATGGAGGATGAAAAAATTATCATAGTTTGAAGGAGGAAAGAAACCAACATTTGCTGAACAGGCACCATGTGTTAGCTTTTTATCTTGACAAAAATACTATGAATTTGGTCTTATTTGTTCCATTTTACAGGTGAGGAAACTGAGTAAATAACCTATCCAAAGTTCCCAACTAATAAGTGGTAGGAGCAAGATTTAAATCCAGTCCTTTCTAACCCTTTCTAGGACATCTGTAACCACTTACAGGAGGGAGAGGGTGCGAGGGGTAGACTAGTTGAGGAAAGGGCTCTCCAACTCAACAGAAGTGTCAGAGATGAGATGAGGGGAAAGAAATTTGTCCCGGACAGAAAAGCTGAGTTAGGAACACAGTCCAGTGATAGTTTTCTAAGCTGTAGGAATGGATTTGAGAAGAATCAGTGGACATCTTTGACCAAAGGAATAACCTGATGAAAATGGTGAAGATTATGTTAGCAGTTGTTTGCGCTGTTTAAATGTTTAGGAGTGTCATCAAGTCGTCTTTTTGTTTTTGTTTTTTTAATTGAAGTATAGTTGATTAACAATGCTGTGTTAGTTTCTGGTGTACAGAAAAGTGATTGTTATATACACACACATACATATATAATCTTTTTCTTTTTTTTTTTTTTTTTTTTTTTGCGGTACGCGGACCTCTCACTGTTGTGGCCTCTCCCGTTGCGGAGCACAGGCTCCGGATGCGCAGGCTCAGCGGCCATGGCTCACGGGCCCAGCCGCTCCGCGGCATGTGGGATCTTCCCGGACCAGGGCGCGAACCCGTGTCCCCTGCATTGGCAGGCGGACTCTCAACCACTGTACCACCAGGGAAGCCCCATATATAATCTTTTTCATATTCTTTTCCCTTATTGGTTATTACAAGATATTGAATATAGTTCCCTGTGCTATACAGTAGGACCTTGTTGTTTATCTGTTTAATATATGGTAGTTTGTATTTGCTAATCCCAAACTCCAAATTTATCCCTCTCCACCTCCTTTTCCCCTTTGGTAACCATAAGTTTGTCTTCTATGTCTGTAAGTCTGTTTCTGTTTTGTAAATAAGTTTACTTGTGTCATATTTTAGATTGCACATATAAGTGATACCCTGTGATATTTGTCTTTCTCTTTCTGACTTCACTTAGAGTGATAATCTCTAGGTCCATTCATGGTGCTGCAAATGACATTATGCCATTCTTTTTTATGGCTGAGTAGTATTCCATTGTATATATGTACCACATCTTCTTTATCCATTTGTCTGTCGATGGACATTTGGGTTGCTTCCGTGACTTGGCTATTGTAAATAGTGCTGCAATGAACATTGGGGTGTATGTGTCTTTTTGTACATCCTCTCCTTTAATAGTGTTACTGTGATGACTTAGCCCCTCCCCAATCTCCCTGGCCTCCTCTTTCCCCTCTCTTTCCCTCCTCTCAAGCCCTAGTCTTCTTTGTATATCAGTGGCTTTCAAATGATTTTTAACATGACCCACAGTAAAAAATACCTTTCTGTTGAGAGTCAGTATACACATACATGCATATACACATACATGCATACACACACGCACCCAAGCACCACTGAAACAAAAATCTTCACCAAACACTTCTTACCCTTATTTGCAGTGCACCCTGGTATTTTTCATTCCATTCTGTTCTATTTTAGTACCAACAAAAATGATGGTTAAGACCCACTAAATTGATTTTATTATCTATTAATGTACTGAAAAGCATATACATTTACATGTGTTGCTTCACTACTTACAAAGCATTAACTCATTTTACTTCAGCAACCTTGTGAAGTGGGTGGATACTTTAATCTACCTTTTTAGAGATGATGGTAGTAAGGATTGGAGAGGTTAAGTGACTTTCCCACACGCACAGGTGGGAGATATTGAGAGAAGGGTTGTTACTATGTGGATTGTGGACAGAAGACAAAGGAGAGAAGATGGGTTACATACAGTCAGTCAGCTAATAGAGTGTATCTTTCCTGAGCCTCCTGCCCTGTGCTGTGTGCTGTGCGCTGTGCTAGGACCTAGAAGGCAAAAAATCAGCATGGGGTCTATGCTCCAGGAGCTCGGAGCCTGTGAAGGAATCTCGTGTAGGGGTAATGTGGAAGTCTCGAAGAGGTATTGGTTTAATCACTGAACTTTTTTTTTAAAATTTTTATTGGGGTATAGTTGATTTATAATGTTGTGTTAGTTTCAAGTGTACAGCAAAGTGAACCTGTCATACATATACACATATCCTCTCTTTTTTGGATTCTTTCCCATATAGACCATTACAGAGTACTGGGCAGAGTTCCTTGTGCTATACAGTAGGTCCTTATTAGTTATCTATTTTATATACAGTAGTGTGTATATATCAATCCCAATCTCCCAATTTATCCCTCCCCCGCTTACCCCCTGGTAACCATAAGTTTGTTTTCTACACCTGTGACTCTGTTTATGTTTTGTAGATAAGTTCATTTGTACCCCTTTTTGTAGATTCCACTTCTTAATCACTCAGATGCTCCAGCCTGGATGTTGGCACTTAATACAGTCAAAACTGGATTATTAAAGTTCAGTGATTATTTTCTACATCTGTAACTCTATTTCTGTTTTGTAGATAAGTTCATTTGTACCCTTTTTAGATTCCACACATAAGCAATATCATATGATATCATTACCAGGGGGTAAGGGGTGTGGGGGAGGGATCAACTGGGAGATTGGGATTGACATATACACACTACTATATATAAAATAGATGACTAATAAGGACCTACTGTATAGCACAGGCAACTCTACTCAATACTCTGTAATGATCTGTATGGGAAAAGAATCTAAAAAAGAGTGGATGTATGTATATGTATAACTGATTCACTTTGCTGTACACCTGAAACTAACACAACATTGTAAATCAACTATACTCCAAAAAAAATTAAAAATAAAATTTATAAAAAAGAGTAATGAGGGAAGTTAGAGATGCAGGGCTGGGAATGGGTGGAATAGCAGGGCTGCCGGTAGAAAACGAGGAGTGTGCTTGTGGTTGGAAGTGAAAACACTGGAATAATTGAACCCCTGAGTTAGCAGCTTACTGAGAGAACAGAGGGAGGAAGGCGGATGGAGACTTGGGCAAATACTGCAACTAAACGCTATGGAAAGAAGAGATTTGCTGACAGAGGTGGAGAATCAGGCAAAAGAAGCAGGACGCTGAAGGGACACGGTTTTTGCAATTTCAAGGAGGGGAAAAGAATATTGTTTTACATCATTAAGACACATATTTATCTGAGCTCTTTTTTTTAGCTTTTGGCTTTTACTTCTGGAATGAGAACCTGATTCCCTCATAAAATCTTTGAAAAAATGTATCTGTGTTTTGATTTTAGGATCATTATGATTGGGGACTTCGTGCTATTAAATCTGTCTTGGTTGTAGCTGGCTCCCTGAAACGAGGAGATAAAAATAGACCTGAAGATCAGGTACTGCAATGCTAATACGATTTTTTCAAGTGAAGAGCTTAATGGCTTTGTACAAATAAAAGTATATATATCTGGATGGTGGGTCATACATAGCATGACTTTTTAAAAAGCATCACATCTATTTTTAATACAGGATATTTTGAGGACTGGCATTTCTTATGTTATAAAAGACCACAAGTATTCTTGAGTAAAAGGATATGAATATATGAAAGAAAATGTGATTTTGTAAGTGCTTCTGGAATATCAGCCACGAAAAATATTTTGGCAGTCATAAATAATTCAGTAATCAATGTTTGATTTTCTCTGAGGAACATTTAGAAAATCTGATTGAGTTGGGATATTAATCCTGAAAAAGTCCATGAAGACATAATCTAATGGAAGAAAGTATGTCCATTTCATGGGTTGTGAGATGAGTTTAAAGAAAGCAACAGGGGGGATGCTCACCTAACACCAATGATATATTTAGTTGGTTATTTAGAGCTACTAGGGGAATGTTCCACTATCCTTCGTGGGGAAAAACAATAACACCCACATCGTGCATTTTCCTCTGTTAAACAAGTAGTGAGAGTAATGGATATACAGCCTGTGTGAAGATGCAGTATGGCTTGAGATTTTGAAAAAGGTCTATTCCTGTGAGTTTCTTTACATGTTAAGGGATATTTATCATGTGATTTTCTACTTCTCTTTTCCAACCTTTCTCCCTCTTCCTCTTGAGTCACAATTCATGATTGGGTCAAGATTTCATACATTTACCTCTTTCTGTAAAAGTCATTCTGATGTTCAAGTTACTGCTTTTAAAATCTAAAGGCCTCTTTGGTTTTCAGCCAAAATAGAAGAAAAACCGAAACTAAAAATGGGTTGAGTTTATCATTCTGAGATTCTTAGAGTAGTTTGGACAAAACGGTCTCATGGCCTTGGTTAATTTACATCCTGGAGTTTGAAGATTACAGAGAGAAGTACCTCAGACCCTTTCTTAAGATCAAAACATTATCCAGGGAGGAACGGGGCCTCTTTGTTGGTTTTAGTCTGAGATTATCCATGGTATCAGCAGAGCTTTCTGCTGTTCTGATATATGACCTTGTAAGCAGTTACCCTCCCTGTAGATAGAATGCCATTCTAATAGAGAACAGTGTCTATCTCATGATTACATCTTTAGCTGTTTAGGTGTTTGTTAGACCTTGTATTGGCTTTTTTAATGAAACGTTTTCTCTTTTCCTTTCTAGGTACTCATGAGAGCATTAAGGGACTTCAATATGCCTAAAATAGTGACTGATGACATCCCTGTGTTTTTGGGCCTGGTTGGTGACCTGTTTCCAGCCCTGGATGTGCCCCGGAGGAGAGTGCCCCACTTTGAACAGATGGTCAGGCAGTCCACCGTGGAGCTCCGCCTGCAGCCCGAGGAAAGCTTCATCCTCAAAGTAAAAGGATCATTTCCTTGTCATGGCAGCCCTTGGGAGGTGCATTGACAATAACTGTGGTTAAGTGATACTCAGCCAAAACATTAACTTACATATTACACTGACCTTAAGAGGCCCTTAATATATACATCAAAGCATTCTAATATAGTTCCATTCTGTGAGAAGGTGAAAACACAGAGAGGGTAAGTCATGGTTTTCAATGTAAGCAGACTTTTCATTAGTTTATAAAACTCCTTGGTTCTTCTCGGCGGTGTGCACCAAAAATTAATTTTGCTTTCTTTTCTCTCCATCTTAGAGAAAGTTGGAAATAAAGTCATTAGCACATGCTTGTAATGGGGGAGAAACATATGACATCACCTGAATTATCAAAGGCTTGTGCATATACTCACTCGTCTGGGGTGTAGTGAATACATGGATGTTAAAATACATACAGATTATCTGTTATAGATATTTCAAAGGATGTAAGTCATTAGTCAGTTGTAGATGATGTTGGCCGTATGCTGTTTCTGGTCCCACTTCATGAAGAGTCATTGATTTTTGTAACTAACCCCTGCCATGTACCAAGTACCTCTGTACTTCACTTCTGCCTGTGTCACTGACTCACCAAGTAATGGTTTTTCTTCATCCTCATCCCCGTACTCTACGTTGAGAGATCTGGGAGCAACTGTACTTTGCACTTGTCATCTTTTCTAACTTTCCAGGAATGTAATGCTGTCAGTGGGAGCTGACTCAAGTTGTAAGGAAAGAACTGGGTGAAAATGGGCAGATTTTTTTTTTAATCACAAACTCATTAAAGGAAACTAGTGTGTGGTTGTTTGGTCTGCAGGTTGTCCAGCTTGAGGAGCTGTTGGCCTTGCGACACTCTGTCTTTGTCGTTGGAAGTGCAGGCACAGGAAAGAGCAAGGTATAGTAAACGCCTGTTAGCTTTCAGCCGTGAAAGGAACAAAATTGCGTAGGGTGGGAGACCTACATTCACTTCCATTTGAGAGTTCCCTTCAGTGAAGTTGCTCATAATTTTGAGTTAGGATCTGAGACTCTAACATTGCTATTTGATCAGTTGAAACCCTTTCTTTATACCGGGAGCAGGGAGAGAGGAGCTAGTAGAACATTGCGTTCAAGTAAGTAAACTGAGGGAAGATTGGGCTTTCCACGTGAGATAGCATCCTATTCGCTAACTTAGATGCGTGCCATCCTGCTCTATTCATCTTTCGATAATGTACCTGAATTCTTTTATCCAAAGTAAACATATTGAGAGACTCTAGAGTAAGATGCCTGGCTTATAGGATTGGTGTGGCCCTACCCACATTGACCAAAACTATTTTCTTATATTTCCCAAGTTATCCTAGTGTCTCCTCCCCATATCATTAAGAAAAACCCAAATAGTTTTCTTCAATACTCCCCCAGAAATATAGCCCTCTATAGGGCCAAAACAAAACTTGAAAAGAAAGGGAGGAAGTAAAAACCACATACTTATTATGCACTCTGCTAGGTGCATTATGTGTGATTTACTCTGCACAACGATGATAGGCCATGGGTGTTATTATCCCCATTTTTAGTTCACTGCTTAATTTTGTTTGGTCTTACTGACAGTCCTGGCAACATCCTTCTTTTCTTGCTTGGCAGACAGTATAATGCAGAACCGCATGCAGTTTAACTGAGGGTGTTTGGGTATAAACATATTTAGTAACCAGCAACTAAAAATAAGCAGAGTGGGCATATGAGACTCTAGAGCATGGGTGTCTAGAACTTGCCAGTATTTAGGTCAGAACCCAAAGAGGAATACGTGTAAAAGGAAGCCCTGTATAGGGCTTTTTCTACTGAAAAATGTGATCCTTGAAATAGTAAAGTAGATTACTGATAGACCTGTAATTATTTTGTTAAAAGTAAGTTTCAGATGTGAGCCATGGTGCAAGGAAGGCTAAAATTAAATTCTATAATTTTCAGTAGATTAATGGTTTCTAAAAATAGAAGCTTAATATTTCTAAGACATTCAATTTCTTTCATCTAGTCTTCATTGATTCCGTCCTGTTCAACCTTTGCTTAAGCTTATAGAACTAGAGCACCAAAGCTTGGGCCATGTTATCTAGCAACTGGTTATTCTAAAGTATTTGGCAACGGTTTATCAGTCCTTTAAACCCCTGTGAGAGGAGATCAGGATGATAATATCTAAAATAAAAGCCATGGCTTTTCAGAGAAAGCAGAAAGGATAGTTGGGCACATATTTGGGTTAAGGTGTCAATTAATTAACTACACATGTATTAAGCACCTATCCTGAGAATTCTTTTTATTTAATTTTTTACTTTTTAAATTTTTTATTTATTTATTTTTTAATTTTTTTGCTGTATGCGGGCCTCTCACTGTTGTGGCCTCTCCCTCAGCAGAGCACAGGCTCTGGACGCGCGGGCCCAGCGGCCATGGCCCACGGGCCCAGCCACTCCGCGGCACGTGGGATCCTCCCAGACCGGGGCACGAACCCACACCCCCTGCATCGGCAGGCGGACCCCCAACCACTGCGCCACCAGGGAAGCCCTATTTTTTATTTTTATTTCCTTATTGGCCACGCTGTGTGGCATGCGGGATCTTAGTTCCCCAACCAGGGATAGAACCCGTGCCCCTGCAGTGGAAGCACAGAGTCTTAACCACTGGACCCTCCAGAGAGGACCTATCCTGTGAATTCTTATCACCAAGCCTTCTTTTCCTCAATTACCTAGAACAGGGCTTCTCAACCTCAGCACTATTGACATCTGTACAGGATAACTCTTTGTCCTGGGGGCTGGTCTTTCATTGCAGGATGTTGAGCAGCATCCCTGGCCTCTGCCCACGAGATGCCCGGTAGCACGTCCTCTTCCCCCAAGTCAAGATGATCTCCTCCTGAGAACTGTTGTTCTAGGTCGCTAGGTATCGAAGCATGTCTAGACCAGCATCCTAGGCATCACCTGGGACCTTCTTAGAACTCAAACCAGTCATTCGCAAGAGCTGCTAAATTAGAAACTCTGAGATCGGGTCCATTAGCCTGTTTTAATACCCTCTAAGCACTTTGGATGCAGGCTAAATTTTAAGAGCAATCTAAATAATACAGGCAGAGTGGATTTTAATAACATGTACAGGAGCACATTTACGTATAGTCCTTTACTTTGCACACATGGTTAAAAATCTCTGTTGATAGTGACTTTCTCTTGACAGAATCAGGTGAACTGATCCTCAGGGATTGTGGGATTAAATTTTTCAAGATGTGAATGAAAATGTGCACATGTAAATTTTTTCCCATTCTCAATATACACAGAATATCTAGGAACATATAATACCTAAGGAAAACTCTTCAGAAATCTTTTGCTTCCCATTTGGCTTACATTAGTATTAATTTTCTTAGCGTTTTTCCTTCTTTCTTTTTCAGATTTTGAGAACACTGAACCGAACATATGTTAACATGAAACAGAAACCCATTTGGAATGACTTAAACCCCAAAGCTGTGACAACAGATGAACTCTTTGGTTTCATACATCATGCTACCCGAGAATGGAAAGATGGCAAGTAGTATTTCCCCTTTTGAAGTGCTAAATTTTTCTTTTTTTTTTTTTTAATCCAGAAAATCATTTCTCAGTTCAAGCCAATTTTAGTCATGGTTGTAGATTTACTGTTTATGGGTTGGCGTTATTGGAAATACAGCAGCTCACAACAGCATTTATAACCTATAAATTAAAACTAGATTTGATTAAGTGGTCGATTAGCATTCAGCAGGTTTGTGCTCAGAGCTGTGTATTTTATCCCCCATCAATTATGTCAGGGCTCCCTGTAAACCAGCAGAGAAGTCAACACAGATGCCTCAGGGAACATTTATAAAGTACCTGATACAAGATACTGAGTTTCAGGCATGTGCTATTCTAGGTGCCAGGGCAAAAGTCAGTGAGACATGTTTCTTGCCCTGAAAGCTTTTGTGGACAAGCAGATTCCTTTGTTAAAATCACTTGTAACATTCTCATTTCTGTAAATGCACTAATCTAGACATCATCCTTGAGTCCTTTCCCACATTTACACCATACATTTAACCTCCCAGCAAATCCTATAGGCCTTACTTACCCTTAACATACGTATTGTATTCCAGTACTTCTCACCTTCTCTGCAGCTCCCACATGAGTCCAAGCCACCAGCATCTCTTGCCTGCATTTGCGGTGTCGCACCTCACGGGTCTCCGTTAATTCGTTTTCCATGCAGCAGACAGAAGGCGGTCTTCAGAATATTAGTTCTCTGCTTGCGGTTTCCAGTGTGTTTCATCACCGTTAGAATCCAACCTTTATCCAAGGCCTACGAGGTTCTATGTGATTGAGTCCCTCTTCCCCATCTCTGATCTCATTTCCTGTTCTCTGCCTTTCACTTACACATACACTCGGGCATCCTTGCTCTTCTCTGAACCCGCCAAGCATCTTCCTGTCACGGGCCTTTGCACTTGGTATTCCCACCATCTGCAACACTGGAGATACCTGCATGGCTTGCTCCCTTATGTTACTAGAATGTCTGGTCAGACATCGCATCAGAGAAGGCTTCCCTGATGACCCTATCAAAGGAGCAGAGCTCGTCATTCTCCATCCTAGTATCATGTACACCCTGCTTCCTTAATCTGTGGGACAGTCAAAATTTGCTCTCTTAGGCTTTCTTTTTTTATTTTAAGGACTGTGGCAGGAAGGGAATAATATCTGTTTATGCTGAAAATATGTAGAAGTCTTTCAAATTAGTGTCCATTAGAACAGGTTGCTGGCTTTTTTATGAATTATGGTAGCAGGTTCTACTATAGACTATCACTTATCTTTGCACAAAATCCTTCACAGAGGAAACAAAACCTTCCACATACCTGCCTCAAAACAGTTTTTTTCACCATAGTATTATATACTTGAGTTTTGAACAGTCAGCAGCTATTAACTGTGCCATGAAACACGCATAATACTTAGCAAAAAGGACTCTGGATTTTAAATGTTTCTATCTTTACATCTTGTGAGATAATGATAACTTATTATAATGCCAGTGAACACATTTCCCAAAGAAATGTATCGCACTTCTGAATACTTTAGCTTTATAATGATCTCTCTCGAATAATGTTATAGAAAAATAGAGAAAGGTGGAATAAATTAATATTTGACCTAAAATAGATACTGAATATATGTGCATGAAAAAGGTTAATATTTTCATTTGGTGTAAGTTTTGAGTTTCATGTACGTCACCTGCTATAAATCTCCACAGGTGTTTTTCAAGGAAGGTACTATCATCTTTATTTGACATTTGGGGTTGCTCAGTCTGAGAAGTTAAGGAACCTTCTCATGGAAGTAAAACTTGTCCTTTGGTCTAGATCTCAGGGATAGCTCAAAAAGTAGTGCTGTTTGCCCACCTGAAAGAGGTGACAAACTTATAGCAAATTTACTTACTGAATAAAAGAGCTTCCAGTACAAATAAGACAAATTTATTTTAGAAGTAAATAGCACTCAACTCCATTATACATTAGGATTGCTGACTCTTAACTTATAGGTCTATTCTCATCCATTCTGCGAGAACAAGCAAATCTTAGGCATGATGGACCAAAATGGATAGTGCTGGATGGCGATATTGATCCCATGTGGATTGAATCACTAAATACTGTCATGGACGATAACAAGGTGAGTAATACCTCAGTGCTAAACCTTAAATGTAACACCTGGAGTGTACTGAGTTCCATTCACTTGTTGACTTTAATACCAGTTTCAGGCATTAACCTGATATTCTTTATGTAATTACTACTTTGATGTGGCACCTTCCTGGTAATTCTCTTAATTTCACTATTAAAGAATTTAAGGGAATACATTTTTTCTTGTCTATAAATTTAACCATCTTTAAAGAGAGATATGTATCCAAGGATTTAGTTCATCCAATCTTACCATTTTCTAAGAGCTAGGTGTAAATTATTATTATATCTTCTCTTTAAGTATGGACTACTTGGATAATAAAAGAATGAGTTTGTGCCCTATGTTAATTGGCTAAGTTTAGCTCTTGAAATTAAGTAGTTCCTATGACTACAGATTTGAGTATGCATTCCTAAGCATTTTGCCGTGGTTAATCTAGAATTTCCAGCAAAAATAAAAGGTGAAGATACAGGTCTTTGAGACACCTTTGAAGCAACCCAAGGTCTACTGTTAGGGTCAGGAGAAAGAAGTCATTAATTGTCATTGCTATAGAATAGTAGTAGTAACCCCCTTAACCTAAGAGTAATTACTGTTTTCTGAACCAAGACATTGTCTATCATAAAATACAGGTCTAAGATCTTTATACTTGCATGAGTTTCTACAGGACAATTTAAAATTGTGATAGTTCAGACTCTAAATAAAGTTTATTTCTTACGGCATTCAGGCCTTTTTATGTAATCAACTCTTAAAACAAGGGTCTTATATTTAGTAATAATTACCACAGTTATTTAAAGGTTGGCATGAGTGAGTCCATGTTGCTGAGTTTGTTCCTCAGGGGTTAGCGAGCTCCCCTGAGGATGAACCGAGATCTTTATTCAGACTGCATTTCATTGTTTGTTTGTTTTTTATTTGTTTTTGTAACAAACAACATTTTTTAAATGGAAGGATAGTTGAGTTACAATGTTGTGTTAATTACTGCTGTACAGCAAAGTGAGTCAGTTATGCATACACACACACACACACACACACACACACACACACACACACACACACATTCTTTTCCATGATGGTTTATCATGGGATACTGAATATAGTTCCCTGTGATATCCAGTAGGACCTTGTTATTTATCCATCCTATATATATTCAGACTGCATTTCTAGCTCAGGCAGTGACCTCATAGCCTTTGGCACTTCTCCTGGGGGAAGGACTTTGTGCTGTTTTGGAAAGTTAGCAGCCTTGCCTTTGCTCCCTAATGAAATGGCCACTTTTGTGCTGTGCTGCTCTGTCCAGGTGCTGACCTTGGCCAGCAATGAACGCATAGCTCTCACTCCCTCTATGAGGCTTCTGTTCGAGGTTCATCACTTAAGGACAGCAACCCCAGCTACTGTTTCCAGGGCTGGTATTCTATACGTGAACCCACAAGATTTAGGCTGGAATCCGTGAGTATTGCTTTTATTTTAATTGTGGTAAAATATACATGAATATCGAATTTACCATTTTAACCATTTTTGAGTGTAAAGTTCAGAGGCATTGAGTACATTCACGTTGTTGTACGAACATCATTACCATCCATCTCCAGAACCTTTTGCATCTTCCCAAACTGAAGCCCCAAAGGCACTAAGCAGTAGCCCTCCCAGCATCCCCACCTCCTTTCTACTTTCTCTCTATGAATTTGAATACTCTAGGTGCTTCTTATAAATTGAATCATATAGTAATTGTCTTTTTGTGCTGGGCTTGTTTCACTTAGCATAATGTCTTCAAAGTTCATGCATGTTACAGCAGGTGCCGGAATGTCCTTCCTTTTCAAAGCTGCATGATATTCCATTTGGTAGAGATATATATATCTCATATTGTTTATCCATTCATCCTTCTGTAGATACTTGGGCTGCTTCTCCCTTTTGACTGTTGCAAATAATACTTCTGTGAACACGGGCATAATCTCTTTGAGTCCCAGCTTTCAATTATTTTTTGATACATACATGTACAAGCTGAATAGCTAGATCATATGGTAATTCTGCTTCAAATTTTTGGAGGAACTGCCATACTGTTTTCCATTAGTGGCTACTCCATTTTACATTCCCATCAGTAGAGCACAAGAGTTCCAATTTCTGCATGACCCCACCAATACTTGTTATTTTCTCTATTTTTTATAATAACCATCCTAATGGGTGTGGAATGGTATCTCATTCCAGTTTTGATTTACATTTTTCTAATGATTAATCATTTGAGCATCTTTTCATGTGTTTATTGGCCATTTGTATATTTTCTTTGGAGAAATGCCCATTTCAGTCCTTTGCCTATTTTTTAATCTAGTTGTTTGGGTTCTTTGTTGTTTTTGTGAACATTTCTTTTTTTAATCTTAGGTTTCTAAGAATGCTAAACATGTATTTGATTATTTGAAGAAAATGTTAGCAATTAAATTTAAAGTTAATTAATTAGGCTAACTTAAAAATCACTAAATTAGCACCTGTATGCAGTTGTCATTTTTAGTTGGACATTACCCTGTTCACACCTTGCGCATGTTAAGACATATTTGTTGGCTAAGTGAAGAAGTAATAATAATAGCTCGTATGGAGCACATAGATATAAGTATATCATTTAGTGAACATTTGTGTGTTTGTATGTATACGCATAATATGCATACATGAACAGTGGTGATGCTTTGATTTAGAATAAACAAGTTTTTTGTGCCCACTTGCTTACTCTTCAGGTGCTTACACTTTCCATAATTCATTCTGGTGGTCCCTTGTCACCCTCTCTCTTATTCCCACTCTGCGCTGTAGGAACATCTGAGCTCTGCACGTGAACACGTGCTGGTGCCTGGCATGCTTCTTGTGTCAGATGTCTTCTCTTTACCCCTCCACCCTGCTCTGTGCCCCCAGCGGCCATCCTGTGTGGCCCACATCAATGGGCTCCTTGCCCTCTGGCTTCTGGTTGGTTTGGCCAGTGAGGAGCCCTGGCAGGAAATGAGAGGGAGAAAAGAGAGTGAGGTTAGGCTATTCATTCCCTTGGCTCCCTCCCTGCAGGAGCACATCAGGGTGACCATGACCTTTATCAGCAGGTCCTCTTAAATCTCTCCATGAGATTCTTTGCTTCCAGGTTTTGATAGTCCTTCATTCTCTTGTCCCTGCAGCCGCGGGTGCTCTCACCATTTCTCAGCCATCACCCCATGACATGGCACTCTCCAGTTTCCCTGCTTCTGCCCACACCTTTGCCAATTGTCCCTTTATTGATCCTTCTCTATTATCCTAATTTGAGGATGACCTCTGCTCCCTGCCAGGTGCCTGACTCATGCACTCCTCCAGGCTACTTTTCTGTATACTGATATATTTACTAAAAGTCTCATCCTCTAACTCAGCAGCCAAGTAGACCCATACCCAGGTTTCTGTGAAGGTAAACTTTCATTGGCTAGGGGAGGGAGTGATTTTTAAAACTCTAAAATGGAGAGTTCTTCTTGAGCTAATAGCTCCTTTCCCCCAGCTAGGATTTTGACTATCTCCTAGGATGCTTCTGTTGATCGGGAGCTAGCTGACGGAGAATCTCCAGTGCCCCTTGACTCCCCCATATGGAGAGCAGAGGCAGTCTTGTACCCCTCACCCCCACTGGTGTGGTCTGATTTCAGTAGTGAATCTCACAGTTCCCAAGGTCTCTGTAGTTCAGTTTTAATAACATACGGAGATTTGTGCTAACAAAAGCGGTCTAAATCCCCATTTAAAGAAAGACTTTTATCTCATAAGTCAAAGGTCACAGTTTGGCAGAAGAGTCACCCAGTTTACATTCTTGAGAAAGTTAAACCCCTCTTCACCATTAGATTTTATTTTCATGGACTTTTTTTTAATTTAAGATCGATGGGTAGGTTTTAATTTTCATATGTGTGACCAAAGGGTCCATCCAGGTCATTATCCAAAATAATGGGAATCTTCTGTAAAGGATATTTTTATATTTTTACCTCCGACTGCCAGAAACTTTCAATGAACTACCAAAAAGTGGGGGGGTGGTATATTTTTAACTCCATATTTATTGGATAATTTATTACCTTACTTTGATGTCATAATATTAAAAATGTGATAGCTTTACATGTATTGACTCATTTAATCCCTAATTACCTTCTGAGATCAATATAGTAATCAACCTAATTTCCCAAACCAATATCTGTCTCAATTTTCCCTGACTTTTTAATTCAAAAGTGTTAAAAAATATAGAAAAATTGAAAAGGTGGTAGGTAGTACATTGTCCAACCGTGCACTCTTTTCCTGCAGTCATCAATTTTTACAATTTTACCCAATTTAATTTCCTTTGGCTGTACGTACACTCCCTCTCACAGGAAAAGAGAGACATATATTTATTTTTTTATATTTATTTTTTTATTTGGTTGCACCGGGTCTTAGCTGTGGCTCATGGGCTCCTTAGTTGCAGCAAGTGGGCTCCTTAGTTGTGGCATGTGAACTCTTAGTTGCGGCATGCATGTGGCATCTAGTTCCCTAGCCAGGGATCAAACCCAGGCCCCCTGCATTGGAAGCATGGAGCCTTATCCACTGCACCACCAGGGTAGTCCCCTATATTTTCTACTTTTATTTATTTTTGCTGAATTATCTGAAAGTAAGTTGGAGACGTTGACAGTTCATCCGTAAGTACTGAAGCATCTCTCTCCTAAGAACTAGGGTATTCTCCTGTATGAACATAATTCAATTAACATACCTAAGAAATTCATCTTGGATATAATACTATCAAAACAAACAGTAATATTTCACAATTTCCCAGCTACCCTGGGAATTTCCTCTGTAGCTTTTTTAAAAAGTCCAGCATCAAAACAAGGACCATGCATTGCATCTACTTATCTCTGTTTTCTCCTTTAATCTAGAATATCCACCCACCTTTTTCTTTCATGACATTTACAGTTTTGAAGAGAACAAGCCAGACATTTCGAAGAATAACCCATTGGTGGTTACAAAGTGGGTCACCCCTTCTGTCTCCATATATTAGGTGACATTTTTAGTAAAGAACTTTTTCTCTTCTTCCCTTCTCTCCTTCCTCCCTTCCTTCCTTTCTCTCTCTCTTTTTCACTGTCCCCCCTTCCTTTTTTCTTTTTGAGGAGTGTCATTTTCTATTCATGGCTTCTTTTGTCTTAGTTCAGTGGGTTATGATTCATTGCCAACAGTATTCTTTTGCATGCTCAATTTGCCCTAAATTTTGCCAGCAGGACCCCCTTCAAGCCAGACCCTTGCATGTTCTTTTGTACTTGTTCTCCTAAGTCTGAGTATTTTGCTTTCTGACTAACACAGATGCTTCTGGCTCATCTCAGACTTTACTTCCCCTACGCTTCTTTCACCCATTTCTCTAAGGAGCTGGAAGTGACTGCTTTCTGTATACGGAGTGGTATTTAGAATCCAAGATAGGGATGCTAGGAGGGCTCATTGCCACTGGTATGTCATTGCTTCTAGACCCTTCAGTGAACAGAGTTAGGAAATATATTTTCTTAATTCATATTATGGGAACTGATAAGATATTTTGGATAGAAGAGATTATGAAATACTATGTTCATAGTATCTCTGTGGGGTTCATAGTATCTCTGTGGGACTAAATACAATGCCATTATTGCTTAAGCTACTTGGAATATTTTTGTTAAAATTCACTGAGCTATTTAAAAGCATAATTTTATGTCCACATTTTACAGGTTATGAGGTCAAACAACATCCTTAAAGTTACATCATTATGTGACTAGCTCTAGAAATCAAATACTATTTTAATTCTGAGTTCTAAGTAAGTTTACTGGAAGAATCCTAGACAGTTCATATATGTCTGTTGAGATCCTGAGATAATAGAGAAAGCAGGAGTTAGAAGAAAATTTCTGAAGATTATGATCAGTGAGAAGTTTTTATAGTAGAAAAGAATAAAATGCACAGAAAGGGAAAAACAAACAGGTAATGAATTAAATTCATTTATAATCATTTAAATTATTAAAATTATTTAAAGTGAGCATAAGTGAAGGTGAGATCTACCAAACTGTGTATTGCATGGCTTGTACATAGTGATAGGAAAACACAGGAGTATTTCTGGAATTTTGTCTGATTCCTGGAAGATAACTTTTGGTAGCCACAACTTGAGATCATACTTCTTTCTCTATTACTTTAGCTGAAAATACTCCTTTTTTAAAAATTGACTTTATTGAAATATAGTTGATTTACAGTGTTGTGTTAGTTTCAGGTATACAGCAAAGTGATTAAGTTATACATATATATATAATAGTTTGCCTCTGCCAATCCCAAACTCCCAATCCATCCCTCCCCCATGGCAACCACAAGTCTGTTCTCTGTGTCTGTGAGTCTGTTTCTTTTTGTATTGATAGATAAGTTCATTTGTGTCATATTTTATATTCCACATATAAGTGATATCATATGGTATTTGTCTCTCTTTCTGACTGACTTCACTTAGTATAATAATCTCTAGGTCCATCCATGTTGCTGCTGCTGCAAATGGCATTATTTCTTTCTTTTTTTCAACAGCTGAGTAATATTCCATTGTATATATATATACCACGCCTTCTTTATCCATTCACCTGTCAATGGACATTTAGGTTGTTTCCATGTCTTGGCTATTGTGAATAGTGCTGCTATGAACACAGGGGTGCATGTATTTTTTCGAATTATATATTTTTCCTGATATAGGCCCAGGAGTGGGATTGCTGGATCATATGGCAATTCTGTTTTTAGTTTTTTTGAGAAACCTCCATACTGTTTTCCATAGTGGCTGTACCAATTTACATCCCCACCAACAGTGTAGGAGGATTCCCTTTTCTCCCTATCCTAGCCAACATTTATTATTTGTAGACTGTTTAATTATGGCCATTCTGACCAGTGTGAGGTGGTACCTCATTGTAGTTTTGATTTATATTTCTCTAATAATTTAGCTGAAAATATTCTTTTGCCTTTGTCTCACTCATTCTCTCACCTGCATTGGATAAGCTTGTTGTCTTCTACCCCTGCAATCCCACCCTTTCATCTTTGGATATTGTTTATATGTGTAAACATACAGATTTAGAAATCATCAAAGTACACTCCTGATCTGTGGGTCCTTTTAACTTCTGCTAATTTCCAGGCCACTGTGAATAATAGAGAACCCAGCTGTAGCTGTGAGGGGCAAACTATAGAGAACTCTGATGAATTCCTGCTATCCTGTATGACAGGATTCCAACCACAGACTACAGAGTAATAAATAAAAAAAGTCTTCAGAAGCCTGAAGACTTTGGCTACCTATATAGTTTCTAAACTGCTGGACTTTAGACTTCCTGTGATGTGCCTATAGCAGTTCTAGAGAAGGAAGAAGAGCAACACAGCTGCTTATGTGGAATATTTTTGCAAGCATTGATGAGCCAAAGATTCTTTGTTAGTGACCTAGACGTTGGCATTAAGATGATGCATTAAGGCATCATAAAGTAGCTATTTCCTGAGGCAGGGGCAGCAATGTGGGTGATCACTTATGTAGGTAAGGAATAAATAAGTATGATATTTTCACTTGTATGTTGTATGATAGCAGTGTGTTTCATTTGGCCATGTTCAAATGTACAGCATCTTTTAAAAATCAGGAGACACTTTTATACGAAGTAAGGTGAAAGGAATTGCCAACAGTACAAAAGTATAGCTTCAGTTTTTGCCGCTGCTGAAGATAATTTGCTGTCTTTTAATGTTTACTAAATTCAGCAGTAACTTATACATGAAATTTAAAACTGTCCATATTTAACAATACAGACTTTTTTTTTTTACTTCCAATGCTGTGTGGTGTGCTTGACCTCTAGCAGAGGTCATTTTGGTTGGTTGTTTTTTTTCCCCCGGTCAGGACCAGCTCTTACCACGCCTCCTGGTTTGATAGAACTAACTTTCTTATTTGTGGACGTAATTGGTACAACAGCATCATCTTCTCGTGGGCCTGGTCGGCTCTCCCTTTGAGACTTTGGCTACTGCCGACGTGGGTCAATGAAGTAGCTCTTACATGTCCCCTAAGTGCAAAGACCAATTCCGCCTCTTGGGGCTGTGTTGACACTGCAGCTCCTAGTTACCCCTGCACAGCCTTCTGACCCCACAGAGACCAAAGACAGGGGTGGGGAGTAGGGGTAGAATTTGCTACGTGCATCAGGGCACTGCCTACCAACCCTTAAGCCCTACCGAACATACTGTCTTTAGGCGATGATCAGAGAGGCAGAGCCAGGATCTGAACTCAGTTCTCTCAGTTCTCCCAAATCCACCAACTCTGTGCTAATGAGTAGCACTGATTGAGAATTTGTTATATGCCAGATGTTAAGGTAAGCACTTAATACATGAGAACTCGTTTGCTGCTCACAACAACCCTAGGAAGTGCATTTCATTATTATCTCCATTGACAGATGAGAAACTTGAGGCACAGAGAGGTTAACTGACTTGCCCAAGGTAACAGAGTTAAAAAATGGATAAAGACCCAGGCAGTCTTAGAGCTGCATCTCCCTAAACAGTTCTCTCCCCTGCCCCCCTCACCGCAATAAGCTTTGGATACTAAGATTCCACTTCTGACAGCTTATGAAGAGTAAAATGAGTAGCTGAGTGGTAGGTGTAGCCTTCATTCCCACTACCTAACACCTGCATTCCATTGTTCCATGGCGCCCACTGGATGCAACTCATGGAGCCCCAGAAGTGGTCTCTCAGTCGCCATCATGCAACTGGACTGCAGCTGATAATCATTCCTCTTGGACCTGAAAAAGTTTTGACAGTAGATATTTTATAAATCTAGCAGTAGTGTATAGGTAGTTGAATATTTAATAAAACCCTACTGTGAAGGCTTGTGAATATCAAAGGGAGCCTTTTCTAAGATAATCATCTCGCCTTAATTTCTTCTGATATTAAAAATATGAAATCTGGGCTTCCCTGGTGGCGCAGTGGTTGAGAGTCTGCTTGTTGATGCAGGGGACGCGGGTTCATGCCCTGGTCCGGGAAGATCCCACATGCTGTGGAGCGGCTGGGCCCATGAGCCATGGCCACTGAGCCTGCGCGTCCGGAGCCTGTGCTCCGCAACGGGAGAGGCCACGGCAGTGAGAGGCCCGCGTACCGGAAAAAAATATATATATATATGAAATCTGATTTGCTTAAAGCAAGGTGTAGCTGTCATGGGTCTGGTCGCACTGCGTCTCTGGTGGCAGCTATATGTATTTGTGATCACTGCTTCCTATTTGATGAGCACTCTTTGAGCAGTTGTTTCTTATGTCATATCATACAGTTTCTTTCCAGAGACTACTGTGGGTGCTACTAAGTCATGTTTCATTTTATTGATAAATAGTTTTTTATTAATATGTTAGAGACATGAATGTATCAAAATTGGTAACATTTTATAAGCTTCAGATTCATACACATGTACCCAAGTGTGAGATACCATTTTAGAGCCACTTACTGGAAGCACATGCTCAGCTATCAGGTTAGAGTTACATTCAGTCCAGTGAACAAGGAGGGACTTGGAAGTAGCCCCTATGGAATTTTCACCTTTTTATTTGTAACTGATTTCTCATTACTAAGTAATTGATGCCAGTTTTCATCAAGAAAAATCCCAAGCTGTTTTCATAAATAAAGCCTACCCTCTGAGAATACTTTCAGTCCTCTAGAAAATGACAAACTGTACTTCCGTATAAATGCTCAGTAATGGCCTGCTTACTGTCTATTATGTTGGGTTTCTAAGTGCTATTAGGAGTTTCTTTTACGTTCTTTTCATTAAGGTTAAAATGGCCATTAAAACAAGGTTTTAAAGGGTCATTTTTAAAATATTTGCCGTTTGAAAAATAGAATGAACCCACTCAACGTGTCCCTGAAGTGTTGGACCAAGCTGTGTTGAAGGGGGAAGCTTTTGAGTTGGTGGAATTTTCCTTTTCAAGCCCGGTGCCCCATAAAAGCTTTTCTGTGTTCTTTTTCAGGTATGTGGCCAGTTGGATAGACAGAAGGCAGCATCAGTCAGAAAAGGCCAATTTAACGATTCTTTTTGATAAATACATTCCTGCGTGCTTGGATAAGCTGAGAAGAAGCTTTAAAACCGTCACTTCAATTCCAGAGAGCAGCCTGGTGCAGGTTTGTCCTGGGTCACACCGTTTCACACTCTAGTCCTGATGTGGTAGTGTGGCTTGATCAAAATAGAAGTTCTTGCTTGTTCAAAAAGGTGCAATGGTTTCTGGAATGGTTAGGTTGGTCCAACCCTCCCCCACCCCAGACCCCGTGTTCCCCAGTGCTTTTTGCAATCCTCTATCACACGCCTTTTACCACCTTTTACCATTTTTATATCTCCAGAGATTTCCATAATGCCAAGCACATAGTAGGTCCCAATACATTATTGAATCATTGCGTTCTTCCCAAGTATATTTGCGTGGAATAAGAAGAACAGGATAGTAACAGGCTCATTTATTTTTCTGTTTCCTAAGTAACTGGCCCAGAGAAGGTGCTCAGTGTGTTGTTTTTGAATACAAAAAATTCATGCAATTAAAGATGTTGGCCGGTGAGTAAGAGAAAGCTTCTGAACTCTGCCTCGTCGGGCACCACCCTGCCCTGCCTCCCACTCTCTCTTCCCTTTCTTTTCTCCCCCTCCCAAAAATAGTCCTCAAGTCAGGTCAGTCTAGTTCGTAGTATTTCAGGGATAGATTTTTTTTTCTGATCCTCATTGTGAGACAGCTGGTTAGAGTGAAGAGTATATATGATACATTGTCATGGCAGCAAATGAAAATAATTCACAGCACACAGAAACGAAGGTTGTGATCTTAATCTCAGCGTGAAGAATAACTATCCCCAGCCTTTACAAGTCTAAAACGTCACAGAAGGGTAACAGTTAGAAACCTTTATTTGTGTCTCTTTAGGAGCAAAACTGGTTTTGAAGTACTTTGTTACCGTGAAGTTACTATGATACAGAATTTGTTTGAAGTTAAATTAGAAATAGTCACAAGCATAATAAGAAGAGAAAGTTCAGGTTTTCGGATAATTCACACACCAATTAAGAAAACGATAGTCTCCAACAGTAATTATCTGAGGTATAATTTATTTCTGAAAGCAGGTCTGAATTTATTCATAATGAATTAATTTTGTGGTTAGCCTAATTAGACGTCCTCTGGTGTAATACTTGCAAAAAAGCAAGTATCGAGTTCCTTCTCAACTTGACTTGTGTATTTGTGTTTCTCTGTGGTGCGAACTTTTTCATTCAAGAGTAGTGTGAAAATAAGTCAGTAGGAATTAATATGATTTTTGCTCTCACTTCCTCCTTTTGTAGTACTCAGAAATGGCATTTTATCCTTAACTCCTTTTTTGGCTGCTGTTGTATAAAGTCGTCTCTTTGCAGTGATTGCTTATAAGGACAAAATTTGAGACAAAAATGAGTGTACAGGAGAATAGCTTAAGAAGACTACCTTATTTTTATTGAAGTATAGTTGATTTACAATGTTGTGTTATGCATACTGGTATACAGAAAACTGATTCAGTTATGTATATATGCACACACATATATACGCATATATATGTATGTATATATATTCTTTTTCATATTCTTTTCCACTGTGGTTTATCACAGGATATTGAATATACTTTGTGCTATACAATAGGACCTTGTTGTTTATCCATTCTACATATACTAGTTTGCATCCGCTAATCCCAAACTCCCAATCCATCCCTCCAGCCCCACTTCCCCTTGGCAACCACAAGTCTGTTCTCTATGTCTGTGAGTCTGTCTCTGTTTCATAGATAAGTTCGTTTGTGTTATATTTTAGATTCCACATACAAGTGATATCATGTGATATTTGCCTTTCTTTGTCTGACTTCACTTAGTATGATAATCTCTAGGTCCATCCATGTAGCTGTAAATGGCATTATTTCATTCTTTTTAAAAGGCTACTTTAAGAAATTAATGTACTATGTTTTCCAATATATGAAACTTTTTTGCTTTACATTTGGTAAGGTGTTTTAACTCATTCAGAATATGCACCAAGGTATGCTTTTATTAATTGCTGGCACAGAGCTTAAAATGTTTTCCAAGTACTGTGTTTGGGAGAAAACAGAAAAAATCAGGTGAGTTATCAGCATGTTCAAATCAGTGGATAATGTCATATTCAGACCTTTCAGTCTTTTTCATTTTGATTTTAACAGTTCCTTAGACTCACATGGCTTCTACTCAGGAATAGCAAAGCCTCAGAGTTTTACATTATTTTTCTTGATAACAAATTGGTGAGTTTTATTCCATTAGAAGATTATTTTAAATTGGCAATCATGGCACAATATAAAATAATGGAAATCAAGAGAGACTGAAAAGTATAACAGGCGCTCAACTACTTAAATTTTGGAAACATTTCCAAATTATGTCCAGGACCCATTTTCCATGTTACCATGGATTTTCCCCACCTCTCATGGTTGGGAAGGAGAGGCACACACATGACATGCTTTGTTATAGCTTCCGTAGCTGTGTGTATGATAGTGACAAAAATCTGCTGCCTCCAAAAACTGGAGGAAGGGTATCATGAGTTTTGAGGGTCTATGACAGTTCTAAGTCATGACAGCCATTTTTGTGCTTCAGAGCAGGGGTCCCCAACCCCCGGGCCTCAGACCAGTACTGGTCCCATGGCCTGTTAGGAACCGAGCCACACAGCAGGAGGTGAGCGGCGGGCCAGCGAGGAAGCTTCATCTGCCTCTCGCTCCCCGTTGCTCCCCCCCATTGCTCACATTACCTCCTGAACCATCCCCCCACTGCCCCCGCCGTCCATGGAAAAATTGTCTTCCACGAAACCGGTCCCTGGTGCCAAAAAGTTGGGGACTGCTGCTTTAGAGAACTAGCTCAAAAACATGTTCATTATGGTTATGATTTCACATAACAGAGGTGTTTGCAGCAGCCATGTTCCCTCCTTGCTGACCTGATTGCCCTGGACGTGGAGTGTGTTTCAGAGCAATAGAGCCGTTTCACCCGGAGGTGAAGAGCAAGTTCCTGAACAGCATTTCTTCCAGGGTTAACTTTAGTGTCCTGTCTAAAAAATGCCACAGGCTAAGGCTGTCAGTCCGACTTTCTAAATTTATGACAACAGGTGGGGGAAACAGCTGCCAAAGTACTGAGGGAAACTGGGTTATCTAAACATCCAACCGTGGGAAATGGTTACATAGCCTTTCCATCTAGTGCCTTCATTCCCAGTGATATTGTAGGGCAACACTTACGGAAAAGGAAAAATGCCTTTAGTTTGTTTTTAAGTGAGAAAGTGGTCTATAGAATATACCCACTATGTGTAGTATGTAGTAGTATGACTCCCTATTTATGAAAAAGACAGCACAGCTATATCCCCATTATTTTTTTCTTTTTGGTTTTATGTATTTCTCTTTATTACAGTGATTATTGGAGGATTTATGATAGTAGGATTTTTTTAACAGTTTGTTGTTACCTAGAAGGTTAGTTTGGTTGAAAGTGGCCAAGGATGTCCACGGCTGACTCAGAAACCCAAGGCCGCCATTTTTGTGTCTCACGGGGTAGCAAATCACACAGAACGGGGAAAAATCACAGAATCTCTTAAGGGTACAGTGGATTTGTTAATAAGCCCTGTGAACTTCACTGTTTTAAAAAAAGAAAAAAGTTTCCCTGAAAGAATGGCTTTTTTTTTTCTTTAGACTCTTTGCACTCTTTTGGAATGTTTGTTGACTCCTGAAAATGTACCTTCTGACAGCCCGAAGGAAGTTTATGAGGTCTATTTTGTCTTTGCTTGTATCTGGGCATTTGGAGGCATTCTACTACAAGATCAGGTACGTGTAGAAATAGTTTATAGAACCAGTTTTATTTGGGGGGAAATATTATTCTGTGTGATCCCTATGGGGTTTTTAAAAATGTATATTATCATAAATCTATCCTACTTGCCCTATTCTCTCCTAAGCCTGTAACATTGTCAGCAAGCTCATTCAGGCTGGTGGTGCTCTCTTTGGCTGATAAGGTCAAATCCATAGCCTTCCATCAGATCTGTCTTCTGAATTCAAGGTTCCATGTCAATACCAGCAGTGTTTCAGTGTGCCTGAGACAGGGTGCTTCACCTGCCCCACCCCCATATTTGCTCTTCCTCTTTCGTCTTTTCCTCAGTAATGCATTTCTCCCAGTTGCTCTAGTTAAAAACCTGGGAGACATCATCTTATTTCTACATCCCATGGTCATCAGATCCTTTCAGTTAGAAAATAGCTGTCACATCTGTCCCCTCTTCTCTATCCCTACAGCCTTAATTCAGGAGTGTATCATCTTTAGATTGTTGTGGGCTACCACATTGTTTTGGCTTGGGCTCCCATAACAAAGTATCATACCCTGGGTGGCTTAAACAACAGAAATTTACTTTCTCTCAGTTCTGGAGGCTGCAAGTCCAAAGTCAGGGTGCCAGCACGGTTGAGTTCTGGCGAGGGCCCTCCTCATACCTTGCAGACGGATACCTTTTTCTGTGTCCTCACATGGCAGAGAGAGAGAAAGATAAGAAGTTTTCTTATGTCTTTTCTTGTAAAGTCACTCATCTAAACATAATCACCTCCCAAAGGCCCCATCTCCAAATACCATCACATTGGGGATTAAGCCTTCAGCATATGAATTTCGGTGGGGAGACAATTCAATCCACAGCACATAATAACATTCAAACTGGTTTCCAGGCCTCTAGTCCTCTTACCCTCTAAGCAGTCTCACGCATGATTCCTAGGGTGATGGTTGTGAACCATAGTCAGCCTCAGGCTGGTTCCTTTCCATTGTTCTTTCCTTCAGGCTAAAGTGAAGCTATCATTCCTACACAGCATTGCTAGTACAGTCCATTTGTGGCTTCTGAGTTCTTCTGGGCGAACACTTGAGATACGAACTTGCATAGATGTGCGCACACACACGCACACACACGTGCGCTCACACCCATACACACGACACGTACCACACACAAACTGCTTAGACTTGCCGAAGTACAAAGTGGGAGTTTTTCACCTTTAGAAATTTTCACATCTAATCTCTCCCATGCACCTCTCTGTATAGATTTTTTCATGTAATCTTTACAATAATTTTTCAAGGTATCCTCACTATGCAGATAAAGTAAAGCTCAGAGAGGCAAAGTAACTTGACTGATGGGAAATGATGACATCAGGATTCCCACTCATGTATCTCTCTCTCCACAAGCTACCCATGGTACACCAGGATCTCTCATGGTCGTAGTGCTTCTATGGGTACCTCTGAATCTTTGAATTAAAAATAGATAGCATATGTCTTCCAGGCTTCCCTAAACGTTTCCAGATGTAAACAGGGAATTTAAATTGGAAGGCATCACAGCCAAGAATGACCCAAATTTGTTCGTTTACTCACTGTAGGTTCTAAAATCCATGGTTGCTATAACCTGAGGGCCAGTTCCTCTTCTTGTTACTAGGTAACCATAAATTATATCTATAAATAAATCTGCCATTCACTTGGCATTCTATATCTTATTCTGACCCTTCTCAGAAGCCACATTTCCTGCGGTAATCTCCAAGTGCTTTCTAAAGAATATAGCCTCTGTTGCCTGAGTGAGAATATTGGGTGACTTCACATGGTTTTTCTCAAAGGCAAAATTTACATGTGTGGATTTCTCCTTCATGGAGACCACATGCAGACTCTCCCTCTCTCCCCCTCTCCCCTTCTCCCCCAAAACCTCATGGGTCTTGTCTTTTTTCCGGTGTTCTCCAGAAGGGTTTTCCTTTTCCAGGGCCTACAACCAGGTAAAATCACATGAGTAGGAGGTTGACAGCTGAGATCTTTCTACTCCTGATCATAACAGCTCACCTTCCTCCCAGCTGATCTTCTTTTCATCTTTGCAGTTTCCCAACCTGGCAGCCTTCCAGCCAGTTATTCAAGCCAGCAGCTGGGCATCGCATGGTCCCCTTCCTCTCCCACTCTTTCCCCAATTAATAGTTGATATCATCATCATCGTCTTTAAATTTTCAAAAAGACTTTAACTGTGAAGCATTCAAAAGAGAGGCTATGAAGTTGGAAACATGAATGAAGCAGACCCAAGAAAGAGTCTTGGGATAGCCATTTATTCAACAAATTTGGGTGCCTACTGTATGTCAGGGAATGTGCTCAGGGCTCTTAATAGGCTAGCTCGCTGAATCTTCAAAAAAATAAAACCTGTCTATATAGGTACAACTATTCTTCTTCTTTTACAAAAAAGAAACTGAAACTTAGATAAGTTAGCCTGCTTGGGAACATGGCTAACTAATGTCTGAGGCAAGTTCAAGCTGCAGCAGACTGACTCAGGACCTGTGTTCTTAACCCAGGCTGTTGCAAACACCTTCCAAAAGTGGTCCCCCATCAACCCTCCCTGAGCTTCCTGTAAACAGCCGTTATCCTTTCTCACTTGGCTTCTGAAGTAAGCTCCTCACTGGTCTTTCCGCTTCTATACTTGCCCCATAATCCATTATTCACTCAGCGCCCAGAGTGATTTTGTTTTTTAATGTAAATTGGATTATATGATACACTGCTGAGTTTACAACACTTTAATTGCTTTTAAGATAAAACTTTAAAATTTAATACTCTTTACACGGCCTCTGGATCTGGCGCTGCCTCTCTCCCTACTTCTTCCTCTGCTGCTGCCTCCCCTCGCTCCCCTCCAGCTGCACCGGCCGGTTTCTGGAACACAGGTTGTTTCGTACCGTAAGATATTTGCACATGCTGACCTCTTCCTGCTTCCTGGAATGGTCTTCTCTCTAATATGTGCCTGTTCTCAGAGATGGCTTCCCTGAACATCCAGTTAAAACAGATTCACCCATTTCTCTCACAACGTCGCCTTTCAAGGTGCCTGTTTATTTATTTGTCTTTTTATTGGCTTCACCTCTGCTTGCACCGTGCTTCCTCATGGCTCCCCCTTTCTCTTTCCCATAAACTCTATGAGGGAAGAAACCCTGTTTGTTTTCTACCCCACTATAGAACAAAATGCATTTCAGTGAGTGAATGAATGATTCAAAATTTGTCATCAAAACCACTTTGCTGATGTAACGGTTAGGTGAAGCAAATTTTGATGTAAAGTAGAAGTCGTATGTATCCTGCCTACAGAGAATGGTGCCAGGTAAGGAATACCTTCTGAATGAACTTGATTTCAGACCAACTTCTGTAGGGTGATAAAAAAAAATCTCATGACACCAATCTGAACATAACTGAAATGAACCTAAACTCATTGACATATGAGTGGTGGTGGGTAGGAATATGAGCTCGGCTTGTTTGTAAAGTGATGGGATCAGCTCTCCCTGCTAAGGCTGATCACCCCTCTCAGCCCCGACCACACTCTCCTATCCTCCAGCCATCCTGTCTGTCTCTATTTGTGTGTGTGAGATAGTGTCGTACAAAAAGTGGGCCGTAGTCCACGGACATAAGGACACCAAAGTAAAAGCAAGTTTAAGAATTCTTCTGGAGAAAAATGGGAGTTGAAGTCTTAGATAAGTGAGATTGCTGAATGCAATGGACCATGCAGTGTTCTTAGAGTTCACCAAAACTCACTTTGCCAGCTCATCCTGTGGATGTAAGAGTCTAGGCCAGGTCATCCTGTAGATACAGAAGGGGTTGTTAGTTGCTAGTACGCAGTTGAAATTTCACCTCCTCCATCTTCCAAACCCTAATCTAGCAGCAAAGGGCTTGTACCTGTTGTTGTATAAAAGCAAGCACCTTCGGGTTTCCCTGGTGGCGCAGTGGTTGAGAGTCCGCCTGCCGATGCAGGGGACACGGGTTCATGTCCCGGTCTGGGAAGACCCCACATGCGGCGGAGCGGCTAGCCCCATGAGCCATGGCCGCTGAGCCTGCGCGTCCGGAGCCTGTGCTCCGCAACGGGAGAGGCCACAACAGTAAGAGGTCCGCATACCGAAAAAAAAAAAAAACACCTTCTAGCAAGGAGAACCTGTTTCCTACGCTGTCATCTTCTCCGGAAGAGTCTCTTCTAGGGCAGGGATTTGTGGAGTTTTCAGCTAGACCACTCAGTTGTGCTGTGCTAGAAAACCAAGTCCAAGTTCTTTCCCTCATTGCAGAGCTTCTCAGATTTCCAATTTCAAAGACCAACAACATTTCAATAATGATTTGGAGGAATGAAATAGGGTTACCAACTGTCTGCTTTTCTAAATAAGGGCATTTATTTTAAAATGACCATTTATTATCACCATAGCTTTATAAAGGAAAGGATATTTTAATGCCAAATGTTCCAGGAAGGCTATAAGCTCAAAGAACAGTATTTAAATCAATAATGTTACTAATTTTTTAAAGAATTCCTTTGTTCTTACTTTTCTCATTTTACCCTCAGTTCATGGAGATATTAGTAGAAATCAATACCACCGTTTGCTAACCACTGTCTTATAGCATGGTGATTTGCATGATAGCCCATTATTGAATTGAACAACCTCGGGGTCATCGAAGGTTCATCTAAGCTTACCTTGTCCTTTAAGTTAATAATTACTCCAGAAAATTTGTACCTGATGGACATATGGCAATTATAGCTTTCTGCCTTGATGGTATTGTCATTCATTACAGCTTCCTTCTAGTTATTTATTTTTTCTTGGGTCAGTTTCAATCCCATTTGTAATTATGAGTCTGTACACTGCAAACACTGTGTGATCAGCCAGATTTGCAGGGACTTTCTATGGGTTCAAAATTACTTTTAAGTCTGCAATAAGAATTTGTCTTGCTCTCCTTAGGTTTCTGGTTGTCAAGCTGAATTCAGTCAGTGGTGGCATAAAGAGATGAAAGCAGTGAAGTTTCCATCCCCGGGAACAATTTTTGATTATTATCTGGACCACAAAACTAAGAAATTCTTGCCTTGGGCTGATAAAATCCCCCAATTTACTATGGATCCAGAGGCACCTCTGCAGGTAGGTGTGGGAAACATACTGCTCTTCAAGCCACATGGTGCTGGTCTGAGCCTTGTTTGTTTGTTTTTGAGCAGTCTTTTTTTTCCCTCCCTGATCAATAAATTACTGTTGGCATGGTCAGCATATAACGTATTTCCTTGGAGAGAAGAATCTCAAGTTATAGGAATGACTAGTGGGACGGTTTCTATATTTCTACTTCTTTTTTTAAATTTATTTCAATTTAATTCTGTGGTAACAGCTTTCTTTAGATTTTCCTAGAAATTGTGTGATTTTATAAAAATTGGAAGCACGTTTCTATTAGTTTGGTGAGTCTTATTTCTGACCTTAGTGTGAATTTCTTAAACAGTGCTTTTCACATATAACTTCTTTCCTTTACTCCTCAAGCTATAAAACGAATGTTTGATCTTCTTACTCATATTTTCAAATTCACATGGCAGCTCACAAATCTAAATGAATCTTTATCATCTTTTAACTGTTTATAACTTGTCCTACATTTTTATATATCAAGTTATTCTTTAACCATCTTCTAATTCTGCCTCAATCTGTTGTGCTTTTCATTATATTTCTTTCTCAAAATCACGTCGTTGTGATTGATTTTGGAGCTTATTATTTCAAGTAGTGCCATATGAACTGCATATAGGTGATGCCTACACTAACTAGGACACATAGTGCGAAATAAAAGAAAATCCAGTGTGAGTGTCTTGGAGCTACAGTTAACCAAGTACCACAAACTAGGTGGCTTCAACAACAGAAATTTATTGTCTCACAGTTTTGGAGGCTAGAAGTTGAAAATAAAGGTGTTAGCAGGATTGGTTCCTTCTGAGGGCTGTAAGGGAAAATCTCTCCTAGCTTCAGGTGGTTTGCTGAAAATCTTGGTGTTCCTTGCAATGTGGCAACATCCCTCAAATCTTCACATGATGGCATTTTCCCCGTGTGTCTTCTTTGTATTTACATTTCCGTTTTACCAGTCATTTTGAATTAGGGGCCTACTCTGCTTGTATTAGTGTGCTAGGGATACCCTGACAAACTACCAGAGACTGAGTGGCTTAAACATCAGAAATTAATTTTTCTCATAGTCTTAGAGGCTAGAAGTCCAAGTTTGAAGTGTTAGTAGATTTGGTTTCTCCTGAGGCCTCTGTCCTTGGCTTGTAGATGGCCACCTCTTGCTGTGTCCTCACATGGTCCTTCCTCTGTATACACATATCCCTGGACACTGTCTTGAAGTGTGTCCAAATTTCTTCTTCCTACAAGAACATCAGTCAGATTGGATTAAATCCCACTCTCTCAGCCTCATTTAAACTTAATCACCTCTTTAAAGGCCTTACCTCCAAATACAGTCATATTCCGTGACACTGGGGTTAGGGCTCCAACATATGAATTTTGGGAGGACACATTTCACCCTATAACCACTTAACTAGGAGGAAACTTATCATTTTACAAACCAGAAATTCAGAGGTAGGAAGGCCTTATGACTTGGTGATATCACCAAGGATTCAGATCTTCTCGCCTTAACACTGGCCTCACTTGAAGACTGGTATCCCTCCTGATCTCAAGATGACTCTAGTGGTCCCAGGAGTTCAAAGGAAACAAGTTAGGGGGAAAGAAGACTTTCTCATATTTTTTATTAAGACTGAAGAAACGTTTTGCAGAAGCCCCAGAGCAGACTGCCCCCTGTATCCAATTCACAAGGGGTCACATGCCACCTCTAACCCATTCTCAGGCCAGGGTAATGAGGTTAAGCTTTGACAGTCATCACACCATTGCAGGAGTCAGGTTGTGTGGAGGAGGGGCAGAGACTTGAACAAAGTGGGGCTCTGGCAGGAGGGAAGAAGTGGACAGATGGATTCTGGGAGGCAACCAGCAGGGTCTGCTCCATCTGCTTTATAGATTTTGACATCTCTGTTTCCGCTCAGCCTGTCTAGACTTCAGCTACCTACCAGTATTACCTAGGTGGTTGAAAGCTGAGGATTTGTACTTAACCAAAACAAACACACACACACGTACACACACACACACACGACCAAAAAAGTGGTATCACAAGGTTGATGCCCCTTATCAGTGATGCATTTTATTCAACAGAGAACCTATCAGGACTTCATAGTCTTACTGTATACACAACTGCACCAAATGTGGCTATTTGATTAAAAACCTCTTAACATGTTTGAGGAGAACCGTATTGAGCCAATAATAGTAGCAAATACTAATATGACATTATAATATGTCAGGACCTTTTCTAAGTGCCTTATTTCCATAGATTAACTAATTTAATCCTTATGAAAATTTTCTAAGGCAGGGACTGTTACTAGCCTTTTTACACATGGAGAAATAGAGGTACCAAGACATCAGGTAATGTGTATACAGTCCGTGATCAGCAGAGCGTTCTTTGTGGTAGGTAAGACAGGGCGTGGGCTCCCGACAGATTTGAGTTTGAATCTAAGTACTACCACCTATGAGTTTGGCCAAGTTATGAATGTTCTCTAAGCTTTAACTTCATCATCTCTGAAATGGAAATGATAACAAAACTCTCCTCATAGGTTTGTTATGAGTGTCATACAATGTAATGCATGCAAAGGGCTCAGCATAGAACCTGTCACATACTCAGCTCTCAGTAGGTGTTAATTATGGGTATTAATGTGCGGACCTTATTACAGAGTTTATGTGTTTTTCTTATGAGCAATATAAATCCTGCAGGTAGTTTTTTTAATCCCCTTTTTAATTTGGCCACCAAGAAATGTAAGACATATTCAATTCTCTTTAATCACCATGCAGGCTTCTCTTTCCTGCGTGTCTGTGTCTGCTTCCCCTTTTCCTCATCTTATATATTAGTCTCTGTTCCCTGAGTCTGGCTTTTACTTGTATCCTTTGTTTCATTGTATTCTTGTAAGCCACCTCTAACTTTTTGTGAAACGATGTAGCATCTAAATAAATAGCCAATTTTCAAAACAGAAACATGTTATGAGAATTTTTAACAAAACAATGCACAGTAAGTTTCAACAGTGCTTTGGATTTGTGAATATTTCACTTAATGCCTGTTTCCTCCAAGCTGGTCTCTCCTCGCACTGAACTCCTTTAGCGTGGATTGTGCCTGATCATTTTGCACATTAATCATTAATCTTACTGGGCCCAGGAATTGCTACCAAGTTTTGGTTATATGTGGCTTGGCTTTTCACATGCTTTATCATCTCCTAAAGAGTGGTGGACAGTTTCTTAAGCATTTACTGCATTCCCTTGTATGTGTAACACAAGGTTAGGCTGAGTGTAGGTATTCCGTGATAGGGAGCCTTCGGTGCTAGCTCTTAACTGGAAAAAATAAATCAATTGCTTCTGCTGTGGCACTTTGATGGCACTACCCAACTGCTCTTCTCAAGCTGTGATGTCTGAACTGATCATTCAAAACAAGAAATTAAGTGGAATCTCTCCTACTGGCTGTTTAGAACTAAGAATTCATTTGGTCTCAATTCTAAAATGACTGGGTTGGTTCAGATACAAAATTTTGGAATGCCTCTCTCTCTGATCTTTCTCTCATTCTATTTTTCTCTCCAGGGAGTTCTGGTTCACACATCAGAGACAACTCGTCTTCAATATTTCATAGAGTTGTTGCTTGAGAAAGGACAGCCGCTGATGCTGGTAGGAAACGCTGGAGTGGGAAAAACAGTCTTTGTAGGTGACATACTAGCAGGTCTCTCCGAGGCTTATATAGTGTCCCATGTGCCTTTCAACTACTACACAACATCGGCAGCTCTGCAGAGTAAGTGTTCCTCCTGTTTATACTTGAGAAACAAGAGATCAGAAACTGTCAAGGGCAGAACATGCAGCCCAAAGAAATGATTACTTTTGCTAGGCTTTAGACATTTTGCTTAGGATGCATTTTTACTTATCACCATTCTGGCTAAATATACTTTGTCTAAATATTGTGATTTTTGGCTTTCCATATCACTCCTGGCTTTATGTGGGTTACTACTCTATAGAACAGCAAGAATTTACGTCAACAGTGTTCATTGCTTTGCCTCTAAACCGTTTGGTTAGCTTTAATCAATTTCACGGAGCCCTAGCAACAAAAGAATATACTCCAGGAAGAGTGCACTGGTTACCTTTTCAAGTAAGGGATTGATTTAGGGGGAAGTTCATTCAAACTGTATTGATGAAATGACAGGCCCCGGGTTGTTAGTTAAATTTTAGAAGAGCTATGAGAATAATTTTTAACTGTTGAATACATGTGTCAGCGTAATCAAAGGAACCACATAGATTTGGGGCATTCTGAGTTTGGAAGGGCACATGAAGTAGATGTGTAGAAGTAGAGAAGCACTGATATCGATATAAAGAGCTGATAGTGGTAACTCTGTCACTCTGGCCAGCACAGCAATGGGGCTGTGCTGAATGGGGGCAGCAGAACTCCCTTCTGTCCGCTACTGTAGGAAACCTGTTGCCCTGAACATGTTTTCTTGTTGTGTGTGTTGTTGCTGTTTTCTCAGCTCTATCAGTAAAGATTAATAACGTATTTTCTTATCACGGACATCAACTCAGCCAAGAACGATTTTTCTGTAATCTCTTTCTTAATCAAGTTTGTCTTCTTCATCATTGTGACTGGAACAGTTAAAAAGCTGACTCAGAAGTTTTTCATTCATTTCTTTAGCAAATATGTATGATTTATGTACTTTCTCTCCAGACACTGTGTACAATACATGTTTTTCATTTGCAGACACAGAAGAAGGGATCACTTTATCACTTGTAAATGGAAGACTAGGGCTGCAATTCAGTAGTTGAACAAAGTTCAGCTTGCTAATTCTTGGAAGGGATACAGGCATGAATAGATTTAGACATTGCCTATTAGCATGAGGAATAGAAAGAGCTAGTGTACTCTAAAGAAAGGGTTTCAGACCTTTGAGATGGGGTGGTATGCAGGCAAAAAGGGGACTTAGGATAGAAGGATCAGCTTAAACAAAGACATGAAAGAGAGGAAATTGTGGGACATATTCAATTAATTGAATCTCTAAGTTGACTGAAGCATAGTGGTCAGGCAGAAGATAGGGCAAAGGCTGGAGTGGCGGGTTGGAGTTCTATTGTAGATGGAGTGACCAATTGTCTACTTTGCCAAAGGCTGGGAAGATATGGAACTTGTAGTGCTAAAACTGGGATCATCCCAGGCAACCTGGGATGGTTGGTCACTGTGACTGTGGAGAGAGCTGAGATGCAAGTGGAAGAGAACATATTTCATATGGTAGGAAATGGTGAGCCATTGATGGGGAGAAAGGAACTGACAAGATGCAGGCTCTGCTTTGGGAGGAGAAGTCTGTGGTGGGGAGACCAGTCCCCTTGAGCAGTGTGCTAGCCAAATGAAATGGTGCCCTGGACTAGAGTTGTAGAGGGAAAGGTGAAAAGGAAGAGACATGTACAGGCTATGGTTGGGCCAATCAGGGACCAGGAGGGAAAGACTAAATTCAGGCTTTGCTTCTGGCTGACTGGGAGATGTTAATTCTATAAACAGGAGCACAGAAGGCTAAAAAGAAGAGATGGGTTGTGAGTGGGGAAGAGGCTTGTTAAATTGAGTTTGGGAACAGGCGTATTTGGTGTTGGCCAAACGTCCAGGTGCCAATGGCTAATAGGAACTGTTGTCCAGCAAGCATTTGGAAATGCAGATATGCTGCTTGGAAGAGGGGTTTGTTAATTTATTCATTGTATATTTCTTCATTCATTCCTTTGTTCTTTTAACAGTTACTTATTTGTTGTGGTTGTCATCAGGAATACAGATGAGCATGATATAGTTCCTCATCCTCAAGCTATTTATAGTCCATTTAGAGAGTAGGCAAGTAATTAGATGCTACATCTCAGATCCACACCTTTCAAGATTTTCTATACTCATGAGTTTCTCTTAAACATACCGACACAAAGTCAGATACGCATGTGAAGAAATGTAATTTGATGTATACACACGATAATGTCTACATACAGTATCTTCTTGTACTTCTGCACCCTGTGGCCCAAGAAGAGAGGTGTGAGAAATTCTTGAGCTGTCCCTAGGCTCTATTTTGATAAAGAAAGACTGATCCACCAGGTTCTGGGTGGACCAGCAGTGGTTCGTGTTTTACAGTAGGTACAGGGAAGGAAGGTGCAAAGGTCAGCAATGGTGTGGTCTCAGATGTGATGGCCAGTGTGACATCACGCTGCAGATACTGACTCTCTAGGAAAGGAGAGTCAAGGTGAGCTCGAGGAGAGTGTGACATAGAAGGTGGTGAACAGAGACATGTTTCTGGGATTAACCTGCAGAGAAATGGTACTTGAAGCCACAGAGTGGGTGAAATGGGGAGAGGATGAGGAAAAACAAGAAAAAAGGACTAAGGTTCTATTTTATATTCATATATAAATATGTTTATATTTTATTATATATAAACAGAAGGTTACACTTTATTTGGTGGACAGAATTATACATTGGTTTCAGGAATTCTTGAGAAACCTCTAGAGAAAAAAGCTGGTCGTAACTATGGTCCAGGAGGAAATAAAAAATTGGTTTATTTTATCGACGACATGAATATGCCTGCAGTGGACTTATATGGCACTGTTCAGCCCCACAGTCTGATTCGACAGCATATTGATTATGGTCACTGGTAAGCGATTGTCTGTATTGTATTTTCTACCAAAATCTACTTGTTATGACTATGGATAAACATTTAAAAATGGAATTAGCGGGGTGGGATAGGGAGGGTGGGAGGGAGACACAAGAGAAGAGGGAGGAGATATGGGGATATATGTATATGTATAGCTGATTCACTTTGCTATACAGCAGCAACTAACGCACCATTGTAAAACAATTATACTCCAATAAAGACATCTAAAAGAAAATGGAATTACCCCAGTTTCTTCCTCTTCTGAGGAGCGTTTTCTATGATACGTTTTGGGTTTCACTTTGCATCCCCTGTTGCTCATCTTAAATGGAATAGGTTTGCTTTGAATCTTTGGAAGAAGTGGATTGAAAAGTATCTTAGAAACGTAAACTGTCTAGTTTAAGCGTTAAGCTCCTTAATGCATTAACTCACACTCAGTTACTTAGGAGAAGCTTTTCTGTGGGATGTAACTATCTGGTAATATCTGGGCATTGCAGTCTGCAATCCCCCAGTCTTGCTGTGGATGTTTCTAACCAAACTCACACGAGAATCTATAAGCAGTAATAGTACCTATTGATTTGGCTCCTTATGTTGATTCTGGCATCAAAGGAGCCGTGTAGTCTTCAGTTTTCTGAGCTTTAGTTTTTATGTCTCTCAGGTAGGCTAACAAGCTCAACGTCACAGAGCAATTGTAAAGATCGAAAGAAACAATTTGTGAAGTCCTTTATGGATTGGTGGGTTTTGTTGTCATTTTGAGCTTTGGGACTTAAGGTTCTGTTTTCTGTCTTGCAGGTATGATAGACAGAAAGTGATGCTTAAAGAAATCCACAGCTGTCAGTATGTTGCCTGCATGAATCCGATGGTGGGCAGTTTCACTATCAATCCTAGACTACAGGTAAGGTGTTGAATACAGCTCTCCTCCAAAGAGCCCCTGAATATCATACTCACACGTTGTAGATCTTGATTCTTAGTGCTTTTGGGTAAAGATTAGGATGTATGGTTCTACTGGACATTTGGTGAAGCGTGGAAGCTTATTTTAATTAGTAGACTTTTTAGGGCAGTTTTAGGTTTACAGAAAAATGAGCTGAAAGCACAGAGAGTTCCCACATACTCGCTGTGACCCATTTAAAAACACCTTGCATTAGTGTGCTGCATCTGTTACAACTGATGAGCCAATATTGATAAGTTATTATTAACTGAAGTCTGAAGTTTACATTAGGGTTCATTTTTTGTGTTACACATTCTGTGGGTTTTGGCAAATGTATAATTACAGGTATCTGTCATTAAAGTATCACATAGGGTAGTTTCACTGTCCTAAAAATCTCCTGTACTCCCTCCACCTGTTCAGCCCTCCCCCGCCACAACCCCCTCACCGCTGAATCCCTGGCAACCATTGATCCTTTTCCTGTCTCTATGGTGTTGCCTTTTCCAGAGGGTCGTATAGTTAGAATCATATAGTATGTAGCCTCTTCAGACTGGCTTCTTTCTTTCTTTCTTTTTTTAAATTTAACATCTTTATTGGAGTATAATTGCTTTACAGTGGTGTGTTAGTTTCTGCTTTATAACAAAGTGAATCAGCCATACGTACACATATATCCCCATATCTCTTCCCTCTTGCGTCTCCCTCCAACCCTCCCTATCCCACCAGTCTAAGTGGTCACAAAGCACCGAGCTGATCTCCCTGTGCTGTGCAGCTGTTTCCCACTAGCTATCTGTTTTACATCTGGTAGTGCATATACGTCAGTGCTACTCTCACTTCGTCCCAGCTTACCCTTAGCCCTCCCCGTGTCCTCAAGTCCATTCTCTACGCCTGTCAGACTGGCTTCTTTTACTTAGCCTAAATATGCATTTAAGGTTCCTCTATGTCTTTTCATGTCTTGATAGCTCATTTCTTTTTATCACTGAATAATACTCATTGTCTGGATGTACCATAGCTTGTTTATCCATTTACTTATTTAAGGATGCCTTGGTTGTTTCCACATTTTGGCAATTCTGAGGAAAGCTACAGTAAATATTTACGTTCAGGTTTTCTGAGTGCATGTAAGCTTTTAAATAATCATCACCACCACCACCGTACATACAACAACAGCATACAAGAGTCAGTGTTGTTTACTAGTTTATGAGCGGTCACTTGAAGCTCAGCTGGGTGACTCTGCTGATCTTGGCTGGACTTGTTCACATGTTGGGGAGTTAACTGTCAGCTACTCAGGGTGGCTTTGGCTAGAGTGATTGTGATTGGGACAACGTGGCTCTGTGTCATGTGTCTCTCATCCTTTGGCAGGCATGTAGAATTCATTGCAGAGGTAGAGCCTTAAGACAGCAAGTGGAAACACACAGGCGTCTGACAGTGACTGGTACCCTGTTACTTCTACCTCCTGTTGCCTTGATCAAGTCTTATGGGAAGTCTGAGAGAGTGGAAGGCACTACCAAGTTACATGGCAATGGGCATGGATAGAGGAAGAGTTGAAAAAATAAGGTCCCCCCCCCCTTTTTTTGTAATCTGGTCCCATTACATTTTGTATTTTATGCAACTCTTATATTTGTTTTTCTTTTCAGAGACATTTCACAGTGTTTGCATTCAACTTTCCATCCATGGATGCACTAAACACCATCTACAGGCAAATCCTGAATTTCCATTTTCAGCAGCAAGCATTTGGGCCGTCAGTTCTCAGGAGTGGCCCCACTTTGATACAGGCAACAATCGCATTCCATCAGACGATGACACACAACTTTTTACCCACAGCCATTAAATTCCACTACCTCTTTAATCTGAGAGACCTGTCAAACGTCTTCCAGGTACCTCAGTGGCTCTGTGTTATGTGTCTTGAGTAGAACACTGATTATAGCAATATTAATGGTGTTCATTCATAGAACTTAGTCGAAAACTATGCTGCGTACTTGAGCATGTATTCTTTCATTTTACACCATAGGCAGGTTTATTAGTCCCGTTTTGTCAGTGAGAGTAGCGAGTCCTCTTAGGCTGCTAGAGACTTAGCAACAGAAGCTAAGGGAGAAATCCTAGTTCCCTATTTCATTTATTCCATATAAATATTTGAGTGTTTCTTTCTGTGCAAGTAAGAGGGATAATTTTTCATTTTTTAATATGTATGCGATACAGTTTTTAAACATGCATCAAGAGAAATTATAATTTCTTAAATTCCTAGATTATTTTGGTTTGTCATTGACACTTAACTTGCTTATCTGGTAAAAGGACAGTATGTATGTATATGATTTAGAAAGGCAGTTCCAAAGAAGGAATTCAAAACTTTCGAATTCTGAAAATATCCAACTTAGGTGGCCTACTTGGTAGAGTAAAAGCAGTTGAAGAGTTATTTATGGCTCAAAGTTCTTTTGTGACAGAAGTCGTAAACTGATTGAATATGAAAACTTCATGAGACTTCTTTATATTTGGTGATTTTTGTTTCTCTATACTTTTATAGCCCTCCTTTCTAAATCACTCCACAACTGCTTCAAAACTCACACCGCATTAGGCAGAAGTTTCCGCAGAACGTGGACCATTCCTTTTCATCTCGATATTTCTAGCACCCGCCTGAAAGACTGTGCTCAATAAAGTGGTGTTTAAAAGCAGATTTTTGATCTTAGGAGGGAAGGGAGACCATGGGGTGAGAAGCCTGTCTTCTCACAGTTCATATCCAGTCTTTCAGCTACGCCTGATATCAACCAGTTCTTTAGCCTTTGCAGCTAAGTCTCTATGACTCCCTTGGTGTTGTCCCATAAGCCCAGAGCACAGTGACTCTCTCCAGGAGGACTGGGCCTATATGAATCCAAGATATGAAGGACAGTGTTGAGGAGAGGGGGGAATAAAAATGCTTTGACTACCCATGAAGGGTGAATTCAGGCAGTGGACTTTGGGTCTCATATGTTTCATCTCTGAAATGAACGGGTTAGATTAAATGATATCACAGGATTTTAGAGTAAAAAATATTATCATGCTGTGACTTGCATGTTTGCTGTTTGTACTCTGGTTTTGGAAACTTAATTCACTGAAGGCAGCAGGTACAAGTTCTAAAATCTGGTATTCAGTTCCTAGGCTGACTCTTGAAGTACAGTCTTAGCTGCATTCCTAAAAATGGGTATAAATGACAGTTAATTTTTTAAATGTTGCTTATCAGAGAGTACAACTACTAATATGTATCTACTACTCTTTATAACACTTCTTGTAACTCAGTGTATTGCTAAATTCAGTACACAGTTAAAGAAAATGTTAAAAGGAAATATTATCTTGGAATGCCACCACCTTCTGAAGTTTTAATATTTATCACTCTTGCCTTGTAGGGGATTTTATTTGCTTCTCCTGAGTGTTTAAAGGGTCCAAATGATTTAATACGCCTGTGGCTTCATGAATCTTCTCGTGTTTATGGAGACAAACTGATAGACACAAAGGATCGTAATTTGTTTCATAAAAACATGCTGGAAACTGCTAGTAAATATTTTGAAGTAAGTAAATGAATGCCAGAGGTCACTGTTTGCTCTGGCACAAATTGGCATTGGAGCAGAAATGGGATAAGGATGTGAACGAATTGTGCATACGCTTACCTGGCTGAAACAGCTGTGACCCCAGGATGCAGTTGGCCTGTACTGGGGAGCAGCATACCCACCTACTCATGGTTTGATTTGCAAGCTTTTCCCTGCATAGGCCACTCTGCCTCCAGATGAATCATTTCTGGAGACTGACACGACCGTGTCTTTCTCTTCCTCCTCCTGCAGGGTGTAGACAGCTCCGTGCTGCTTCAACAGCCCCTCATCTACTGCCATTTTGCTAATGGCAGCAAAGACCCACGTTACCTGCCGATGAGAGACTGGGAGGTGCTGAGGACATTTCTGACCGAAGCCTTAGATAGCTACAACGAGCTCAATGCCGCCATGCACCTTGTTTTATTTGAAGACGCCATGCAACATGTGTGAGTTGACTGGCTGTGATGCTTTTCCACAAAGTAAAAATGGCTGGGTGTCCACAATTGTTGTTGTTGTTCAGTGTGATCTGTTGAATACTTGGAACTATCAGTTCTTACTTCTTGTTTGCCATACAGTATAAAACTAAGTGTCTCCACGAAACTTAAATAATGTTAAAAACCAATGTTACCTCAAAAAAAAGAAAAAAATAAAACTTGATTGACAACACAAGAAGAAAAAACAAAGGTAGGCCACAACCCTCTTAAATGACATAAATATGTCACATCCCAGTAAATGCAGCCACTTACCATGTCATAAGCAAGAGGCAACTTGTAGAAGACCTCAAGAATGTACATATGTAGGAAGGAAATTGAGGAAGGAAATTGACTTTTACACTAAAGAAAAGTAATTGATAATCTGAGTTAGATGAGAAAATTATCTTCTGCAAAAAGTCATTCAAATCTTCTTAGTTTATATAACTATGAATGTATGGGCCTGATTCAGAGAAGGTCACTAAGAGCTTTTATTGCTTACCTTCAGCAAATACAAGAATATCAAACGTAATTCTTTGTATAATAGTAGATAAGTTTTATATAAATGAATAAATAATAATAGGTTTAGGTGTCCTGGATCCTTTAAAAAAATATTAAGTGTCTATAAATTATGTCACAATCTTAATAAGGTCTTACATAGGTACACTACTTTTTGAAGTGCCATCAGAGCCATAATTTCATTTTCTTTTACTGTACCTCTGTTAGGTAAGAATATTAAGAAAGAGGAAGGTAAGTGACTTGTTCAAAGTCTTAAAGTTCATAAGTGGCAGAGGCTGGATGGACTCAAACTGATTTTCTTTGGTTAAGAATGTTGATTGAGTGCCTACTTAGTGCTAAAGAGGAACATTGCCAGCCTATTCAGTACTTATGTGCGTATTAGAAAAAAAGAGGGAGGGCCATGTTTTCTGGGCAGAAAATTAGAAAAAGGCCCCTCTCCTGGTGTAGAGCATGGCTGACAAGGCTCTTACCTCCTAGCCTGGGCATCTTGTGCAGTGCACAGATTATGCAACTGTCTGTGGCACCCCTGCTGTCAGACATTGCCTGAGGTGCTGGGGAGACAGCAGCAAAGACAGTCTAGTTCTTTCTCTAATCGAGCTTATGTTTTAGTGATGCGATGGGACATTTATAAGGATATGAACAAATAAGCAAGTGAGAAAAATGGCAGAAAGTGGTATGTCCTGCTGAGGAATAAAATTGATTGACTCTGAGAAATAAGCGTTTGGATTCCCAAAGAGGGACTGGCTATCTATGTGAGGAGGTGACATTTAAGGTGAGATCAAAATGATACGCAGGAGCTAGGCATGGAAAGATCTGGAGGAAGGACACTCTAGGTATGGGCAGATGTCATGTGGCCTCAAGACTGAACGTTCAAAAGCAGAAAGAGGGTCATTGTGGCAGCATCCTGGCGAAGTGGGGAGAGCAGTATATGACAAGATGGGGAGGTGGGCACAGGCCTCACGTGTACAGTGTGTTTCCTTTTTACCAGAGGAGGCGGGGTTTATTTCATTCTAACTGCAGTGAGAAGCTTTGGGTCAGATTTTAGCACGGGAATGACAGGATCTGTTGAAGAGTCTAAACAGCTTGCCGTTGCTGCTGCCGTGTGGGAAGTTGATTGCATCTTTCCTTCCAATCCTGTTCTCCTAGTCACCATTATTTCTCAGTGGCTGTCCTGGTCTCCTAGAGCTGCTCTAACAAAACACTACAAACTGGGCAGCTTAGAAAGACATATTTATTGTCTCAACAGTTCTGGAGGCAAGAAGTCTGAAGGGCTGGAAGGGCTGTGCTCCTTCTGAAGGTGCTGGGGAGGATCTGTTCTAGAATTCTTTCCTTGCTTCTGGTAGTTCCTTGGCTTGTGACAGCCTAACTCCAATCTTCACGTGGCAGTTTCCCTTTGTGTGTGTTTGTATCCAAATTTCTTTCTATAAGGACACCAGTCGTACTGGATAAGGTGCTCACCCTACTCCCCTATGACCTCATCCTAACTAGTTTCTTCTTCAATCACCCTATTTCCAAATAAGCTTATATCCTTAGATACTGGAGGTTAGGACTTCAATATATGAGTCTGGGGGGAAGCCGTTCAATGAATAACACTGGCTTTTCAAACAAGTGATATTTGGGCAAAGACTAAAATAATGAAATAAATCAAGAAAGAAGGAAGTATGTGAGGAAGGTGACTCAAACAGACCCAAAAAACGTGGAGAATTCAATTTTCAGAAGAAAATTTGAGCAGATTAAATGTTGAGCCCAAGTGCCTACGAAAAACTTGGGAGGTCTCCCCATCATCGGTTATTATAAGCATGTGAGGTGTTGATTGTTTTATCGATCCCTTTGCAGTTGCAATCCTCTGATTACGCAGACAGGAAGCTTCAGTTAGAATCTCTGACCGTGGTGATAAGTGAGTTATTAGTAATACTGTTGCTGGTTGGGTTAGTATACGGTGACCGTCTGTCGCGGCTCGGGTGGAGGAGATGTCCCATTGGCGCTGAAGAGTCTTCCCCTCTAATCCTTCAACACAGAGTTCTCGGTGACCTAAAGGGAAAGCCACTACTTTGATCAGGGGTTATGAGCTAGAAGCTGATTTACTCAGTGTCAGAGATGATTTCAGAGAGTGTCCTAGAATGTTGTAGAAAGGGACTTTTGCCACTGAGAGACTCTGGTGAGGTGCAGACCTCAAAGCACACATTAAAATGAAATGACAACCCTGCTTTGTAACTTGGGGTGTCACTCGTGACAGAGTAGCCTCAGAGCTTTCCCAAGGTGGTCTTGTTGTGTGGTCCTGTAAAATAAAATGTAATGCGATGGCTGAGCTTGGAAAAATAACCTGTCTTTTCAGCTATTGAAGGTTTTCAGGAAATGCTCACATGTGTTGGTCCTTGTATAAGTGACCCCAACTTCATTTTTTCAAAAAGCACTCTTTAAAAAAAAAAAAAAAATCTATGTGGATCATTCAGGGCTTGAAGTTTAAATTCATTCAGGAAAGCAGCTGAGAGCAAATACAACAGTGTGGTTTTTTGGTTTTTTGTTTGGTTTTTTTCTGCATTTGGGTTTCAGTATGCTTATATTTTGTTTTGTTATTTTTCTTAATATTTATGACATAATTATGGCAGATTTCTTCAACCAAACGCATATTTTGATCATGTTAAAGCCAACTTATTCCTAACTGTAAGATACAGCAATAGTATCAAAAGTTTAAGCATTGAGAATCTCTTCAGTAATACAGAACAAGGGATTAGTTGACCTTGCCGGAAATGTAACTCTGGGATTCTAACAGTTTCAGTAAATGTTTTAGACAGCTCGAGGCACAGGGAAAGCTTTAGTGCAAAGGACGTCAAGAATCATACAAAAAGGCAGGTGTTTAAAATGCATGAAGCAAGTCACATGTGAGGTGTGTGTCGGTTTGAACAAATCCATTCTTTCCACAGTAATTCTACAGCAAAGGTTTCTGGCCCAAAAATATTCTCCCTTTGATGTCCTCGTACGTGGATGCTGATGTGAGGTTAGGATCTTTCTTGCTTATCAGGAAAATGTGACGCTTTGATGAAAGGCCTTGTCTTCATTTTCTGTCCTCTTCTGGTGGAGAGTAATACAGCAGTGAGAGTCCAGATGTCATTAACCAGGATGGTTTGTTAGGCAAGCGATGCGGGGGCAGACTCGGGCAGCATCTTTGTTTAATGGGAAAACAGAGGAACAGGGATGGAAAGTCTGACGTGAAAATCGGAATTTAGTATCTAAATATGTGAAAAACGAAACAGACATGGCCCCAGGGCTCGTTGGATATCATCTGCAGGGGGTGTGCTTCCTCTCCCCAGGTGTCGCATCAGCCGGATCCTGCGGGCTCCTCGGGGTTACGCGCTCTTGATTGGAGTGGCGGGCAGTGGCAAGCAGAGCCTGTCCCGCCTGGCGGCCCACGTTTGCAGCCTCGAGGTCTTCCAGATCACTCTGACCGAAGGCTTTGGAATCCAAGAACTTCGGGTAAGTACAGTGATGGGCATCCCCGCGCCCCTTCTGCCCCAGGATATAAGTGCTCCCGTCATCCATGGAGAGGGGGGAAAGCTCTTTAGAGGATTTAGTTGGCGGTTTCTCCTTCATGGTCAGATTAGTAATAGCAAATTGCTACCAACATTTATAGGTATATAAGCCTGTAGAACTGGCTCAGAAAATATTTTATTAAATACTTGCTTACACAAACATGTTTTTTCTTTTGCATTGACCATACTTGATAATCAGCAGTATTCATAGCCCCATACGATGGAGTGAGGGGAAAAAAGATACTTTTCTTTTTACTTTTTTTTACAAGCGCGAAGAGATTTCTTCCACTTTGAAGCAGATTATGAAAATAAAATATGATGGGAACACAGTCAAGAAGCTCTGACGTGTTTTTAAAATTTTGCTTTTGAGTTACAACAGTACTTACAAAATAGTACTTAGAGTTTGTGGCAAGTGCTATTTTAAAGCAAAAAAAAAAAAAAACACCACATGCTTTCAATATTACTAAATAAAACTAACTACATAAGACACCAGCCAATGGAGTAGACAGCTGTTGAAATGAGACAAAAACTTCTTTTAACTGCGTTGCTTGACAGTGGCGTTACTGCATTTGCTTTTACTGGAAGAGAAGGGAGTTGTTTCTCAGGAGCCTATTTGCGTCTTGGGCTCCATTAGGCCACAAACGTGATACTCATCATTATATGCCAGAAATGGAGGTGACGTCATGCTGTTTGCCCCCGTAAGAAGATGGTCACTGTGAGGAAAGAATATGTAAACGGGGGAAAGGACAGCACACAGCCCTCCCATTGTAGCGCCTCAATTCTCCCTAGCCCTCGCACACACACTCCCAACGTCACACCAGCATTTTAATACAGCGTGAATAATGGCCTCCTTTCCTTACAGGTAGATCTTGCCAATTTGTACGTCAGAACCGGAGCCAAGAACATGCCCACTGCGTTCCTGCTGACAGATGCACAGGTTCTGGATGAGAGCTTTCTCGTGCTGATTAATGGCTTGCTGGCATCAGGTGATTAAAGCAACACATTTCATGAAAGATCTTCCCCAAAGACAAATGATCTGTAGTTTCAGTGAACTTTAAATAGAGACAATTTGTCTTTGAGATGTTTGCTGGGGCATTCTTTGAGGAGAAACCTATAAACCTAACTAATTTGAAGTATATTCTTTCTTAGTCTGCTTGCGGATGTGAGATGCCTTGGAGAGGCCTTCAGTGAAGTAAATGTTATTCCTACATGGGCGAGTTTAGTGGGTGGATTCGTCATAGCTTGTCCTCAGTGTGTTGTGTGTCTTGTAAATGCAAGAAGAAAAATTGTGTTTCTGTTTCAAACTCTTTAAAGGTGAACTTTGTATTATAAAGCATTTCAAGTCATGTATAAAATTTAAATTGTGGCAGTCTTTTAATAATCCTACTCATTCCTTTGGGGGCAGGGGAAATCCCTGATCTGTTCAGTGATGAAGATGTAGACAAGATAATTTCTGGAATTCGTAGTGAAGTTCATGGTCTGGGCATGGTGGACTCCAGAGAAAATTGTTGGAAGTTCTTTTTGGCCCGGGTGCGACTACAGCTGAAAGTAAGAAACATTTGCTATATTTGCATTTAGTTAAACGTGCTGTTAGAACTCTGCTATGGTTCTGTTTCGCAATTCATATGAGAAGTTTGAATTCCACTCATTCATTTTGTAAGGACATCCAGTCATTAATTTTGAAAGGACATTTGCATTTTTCCATGAGTGTCTGGAGGGCACCTTCTTCAAGTTTCCTGTGATGCTGGGCTCCTACAAAGCATTGCTCTGAGCAGATTGCACTCCTCGAGTGAACTGAACATGGTCTCTGTCCTTGAGGAACTTACACTATTACAGGAGACAAGAGACACCACAAATAATGGTAGTATGGGACCAGTGTGAATGGTGCTATGTGATTCCAGAGGCATACAGCATCCTTCCTAATGGCACTAGACCCTCCTGGAGGAAGTGATGTGCTGTGTGTCAAGTGTGGCTTAGAATTCATGGGGAAGCGATGGGGTGGGGAAGAACTTTCAGGAAGAGGAAATAGCATTTATATAAGTGTAAAGGTGGAATGCACGGTGCATATTTGGAGAAACCCCAGATAGCTCCAAGTGACTGGGATGGAGAATTCCTGAAGGAAGAACCAGGTGGATCAGGCTGGGAAAGTAAATTGGGGTGAAGCAAGGGTTTTGTAAATCATTAAGGGAGCAGAGGAAGAGTTTGAGTTAAGGAAGTGACTCTTACGTTAGTACTTCAGGGCAAATAATTATGGCCTATCACTCAGATGATCTGAGGCTCAACCCAGGGTTCCTCCACAGAAACTACTCCATGCTTTAGTGTAGCATATAGGAATATAATATAACCAAATAAGAGCAGCAAGAAGGATGAAGTATTAGAACAAGAAGCCCCTCCACACTCATGGCAGAAAGCCAATTGAAAATGCTAATATGGAAAATTGAGACTTCCTAGTATAGTAATGCTTAGTAACCTAGAAAAGTTACTACTTTGCTACTCCTTCTAGTATTCCACACCTGTCAAGCTAGGAACAGAGGACTTCCCTGGTGGCACAGTGGTTAAGAATCCTCCTGCCAGTGCAGGGGACATGGGTTCGAGCCCTGGTCCAGGAAGATCCCACATGCCACGGAGCAACTAAGCCCGTGTGCCACAACTACAGAGCCTGTGCTCTAGAGCCTGAGCACCACAACTACTGAGCCCCTGTGCCGCAACTACTGAAGCCCGTGTAGGGCCCGCGTGCCGCAGTCACTGAGCCCACGTGCTGCATTTGCTGAAGCCTGCGCGCCTAGAGCCCATGCTCCACAACAAGAGAAGCCACCGCAATGAGAAGCCCGCACACCGCAAGGAAGAGCAGCCCCTGCTCGCCACAACTAGAGAAAGCCTGCACGCAGCAATGAAGACCCAACGCAGCCAAAAATAAATGAATAAATAAAGTTAGGAATGGACTTTACGGCTCCTATAAAGCCTGGAGTACGCAGGAAGGGATGGGAAGTGGCATTAGCTGTGAATATACCTCTGTGAGGAGGTTAAGGAATAGAGTAACTATGATTCTTCTCCGCCCTCCTGTTTCAAATTACACATTGGTCTTACTGAGCAATTCTGGGCTGAGGTTAGAAATCAGAATTCAAGGTTCAGTTGCCCAAAGAGTTTTCTGTCCATCAAAAATGTGACTAAGCATCTGTTGGCCAGGCTGTAACGAGGCCGGGGATTTCTCCCTGTTCCACCGCGATATACTTGGATCAGATTTTCTTTGTGAAATGGGAAAATAAGTACAATAATAGAATTTGAGACAGTAATGTAATAAATCAGCAGCAGTCCAAGTCTGTTGTTCAGAGCAGCAGAATCAACGACACCTAGGAACTTTTCAAAAATGCAAATTCTCCAGCCCCATCCCAGAACTCTTAAATTAGAAACTCCGGGTGGGACCCAGAAATCTATGTTTTAACAAACCCTCCAGGTGATTCTGAAGCATGCTGCAATTTGACAACCACTGTTACAAATAATGCTAGCATGAGCGTCCTTTACATGCGTCTTGTATACACAGCTTTGCTTGCTCTTGTAGGATAAATTCTTAACACGGGAATTGCTAAATTCAGTAGTTACAGCTTGTAGCAGTTTTAAATTGTGCCTGCAATTTCTCTGATGTTCTTCTGACTCACAGGTGGGATTCAGGTCCCCTCTCCTTGGATCTGGGTGGGCTTATGACTGCTTCAGCTAATAGAGTAGGGTATAGTTCAGCAGAAGTGATGCTGAGTAACCTCCGAGGCTGAATCATAAAGGACCCACCTTTCCATTGAATTGTACATGGTTTTTTGTTTGTGAGTTCTGTGCATATTAAGCGATTAGGCTTATATATATGTGTTGGATATTTTTCCTGTTCTATCATTTATCTTTTAAATGTATATATGGTACATGTCTGTTTATTTGTTTATAACTCTGGAAAAATTTTTAAGTGTTTATCCTAGATTAATCAGTGTCTACCTTTATGGATTTGGGGTTTCTTACATATTTAGGAAAGCGTTTTTCTCTCCAAGATTTAAAAACTCTTCACTAGAAGCAACTGGAACTCATTTGGGCTACAAATGAAGAGAATGTCCAAGACCAGTTCCTGAAAGCCTCCCTCCCATGTCAGAGTCCAGACTAGCTCAGTAATCCCCTTACAAACCCATGCTTTTCCATCTTTCTCTCCCGCCAGTGACCACCCTGCTGCTTCCTGCCTCATGATCACACGATGAGTGCAGTAGGGTCTGTATTCCCGGTAGGAAGAAAGAGTGGGGAAGGAGACTTGGGGCTCTCTGAATCAGGAATCCAAAGCTCCCCGCAAATCCCTAAGGTGATGTCTTACTGATCACAGGTGTGTCCCTTGTCACCTCCACCTACCAGGGAGTATGGGGAAGTGAATATTTGATCTTGTCACAAAGGCTTTATGAGTAAAATTGGAAATTGGTTTAGAATAGAAGCAGTGTCAGCCATTCCAGGGCCTGCATGCTTTCATGCTTTATGTTTAAAACTATGCTACATCTGGAATATATTTATTATTGTTTATGACAAAGAGTGAGCCGAGAGGTTTCAGGTTACTTTTTTTTCCCCCCCAAAAGATGTGTTTTTATCTCAACACCATGTATTTCTTCCTTACTAATTTAAAGGACCATCTTTATTATATGCCAGATAGCCATGTTAACTGGGTCTATTTCCACGTCCTCTATTCTATTTTCTTGTTACTCCTACTGATTCCAGCTCTGTACTATGTAAGGTATGCAAACTTTATTATACTTTTTTGTATCTAGTATTTCATTGCCCTTATCTAGTTTTTCTTTGTTGCTTTTACATGTTTTTAATGTCTGGAGAAACAGCAGAATCATTTTGTCAGATTCTAAACACATTTCATTTAAATTTTGGTTGAAATCCTACTGAAAGCTTTTTTTTAAATTAGGGAGAATTGAATCTTCATGATAAAAGGTCACATTGCTTTTGTAGAAGAACTATTTCCTTCATAAAATTTTCTACTGGTATATTGTTTCTATATAGGAGAGCTGTTGATTTTTAGTTTTGTAACCAGCTACCTTACTGCCTCATCAATCATTTTCTATTAGTTGATATATAGCCTGCAGATAATAATATTTTGTCTTTCCTAATATTCTGTTTATCCGTTCTCCTTCCTCACTGCCTTGGCAAATCTACAAAAGAAGGTGTTTCTCATGTTTCACTATTGCATTATATGTTGGCTTTTGACTCAGGATGTGTATTGTCAAGGAAATATCTACCTATTGGATTTCTTTGCAGCCTCTCTTGAGATAATTACATGGTTGTTCTTTTTGAACTTAGTAATATTCATATAGTACAGAAGTTTTGCATTTTCATATTGTTAAATCCATCAGGCCTTTCTTCTATGCGTTTCCTGTGATTCTATGCTTTGGCAGGCCTTACCAAAACCGAGATCAGTTTTCTATTTACCTCTGTTGTTGTCTGAGCCTTTTCATAGTCACATTTTTTCGTATGCACCTTGGTACAAGCTAGAATTTATTTTGGAGTTAGGTATGGATCATTTTTCCCTCTTGTCACAGGATTACTAGTTGAATAATTTATCTCTTCCCTACTAAAATGAGTAGGAAGATTTTTGTTTGTTAAATGCTGAGGAGGAATAAGATCTCTCCCTCAAATACTTCTCATCCTTCTTGGCCTTCACTTAGTTTGCTGCATCATGAGAAAGATCAGTGGTCAGCACCTTACCCTGAGGGAGAAATGATGCGGCAAAGAAACGGGTCTCCTTTTAGCAAGAAAATGGCAGCTTCTTTCTCTTCATCTGTGTGTATTACCCGCAAATCCGCAGAATTTTTTCTAAGGAATAATGGATTTCTCTGTTCGTTTCATATATTGTGATACTCACCAGCATGTGCTAAAGACTCAGAATTTCTCACGAGCTAGCTGATGCTTCCTTTGCATATGTTCCTAGCTGGGCAACACGGGAAGCTTAATGTGTTACAAGAGTTTGCGAGCACACCTGGCAGGTCAAGCTAAATGATGTGTAGTTACCACCCCATTACCCATGCTCACCACCCAAACTCAGTTCCTATTTGGAATGCAGGGGTAGTGAGAACCTGTTGGCAGCTGAAGTAAACCGGTGAGTCAATGCCAAGTGCCTCCTCTCCTTCACATCTGTGTATGTGTGCATCCTTTCCTGCATAATTCTTATTTACCCTTAGAGTATAGTACTCTCATGTTCTCTCCTAATAACTTTAGTTAACCTGAAAACTCTTCTTTCTTGCCTTCCTTCCTGGCCACGTGATGCCGTAAGGAAAAGAACCCTTAGTGTATGTAGCAGCCCCTGATTCTTTCCCAAGAATTTAGTTATCTGTGTGTTTGGTTATGTAACTGTCTGTCTGTCTATCTATGGGTGGGGGTATGTGTGTGTAGTTTTTATTTTCTTCATATGGTTCTGTATTTTTAAATTATATATATTATGTATTATATACATACGTAAGTATATGTTATATATGTATATATAGAGAGAGAGGAGATTCATTTTTGATAACATAAGATATATATGTTCA